ACTGTTGATTGGAAATGTGATTTCACAATCTCAACATATCTCAACGCCAATTTAAATATTGGTCCATTCAGGATCATCCCAACATAAAAAAAAGGGGGAAACAAAGAAGTTTGAAATCGCATCCAGTTGCAAGATTCACAAAGGTGCTTGAATGAGTGATCACAAAGGAGGGTGCTTGCGGCAGCAGGGCTGTGGTTCGGCTCAGCATCAACCAGGCACACCATCTGAAAACGGTGGCCTGGCTTTGTCAAGAAGTAGAGAGTATCTCCCTAGTGCAAAGTTTCACACTGACTGTCCACTCCAAGTCTGACCAAGTCAAGTCTTTTGTAGAAACCCCGCCTCCAAATGCCGTGCGAAGAAAATGGTAATCGGATCGTACTGGGGCTCCAGGACGTTGGTCAGCATCAAGCCCAGAACAAGCATCCAAATGCCCCAAATTGACCAAATGGCATGGCGAATGTAGGTGGATGGAGGATGCCGCATTGAAACACCGACCGCAGCCACTACACTGATGCTCACACATGAGATAGTATCGACCACTCTTAGCCACGCCCGACTCTTGAACGGCAAAGGTGAGTGCCACTTCACACCTGGATGATTTTTTGGATGTGAAGAGAAGTCCGCAGCAATTGAAATCATCTTCATCAGTAGGGGTACCCCCATATATATATATACATACAGTATATATATATTATATTATATCATCCATTATAGATTAGGATTCTCCACTTTAAACCCTCCAACTATTGGACTATTGAACCCCCTATGGATTCATGGAAACACCCAATCCATACCCAACTGATCCCAAGCTACACGGTATGTATGCCAAAAATGACAACGATCCAAATGCTGTGATGACCAGAACGCTCAACACCCGCCAGATTCTTCTCGGAGGCGTCTGCGTTTGACTGTTTCGGAAGTGTAAGGATGCAGGGATGAGACCCAAAATGCTCCCACCAATGCCGTACAGTCCTTAGTTGACTTCGATGTGGCGTGTCGCTATCCCCGAATGAAATATCATCATGCTCCAATCAAATCAAAATGGCCAAAGATGATCAAACATTGGTGTATAATTGTATATTGTATATGTATACATATGTATAATATATATGTGTGTGTGCGCATTCTATATATATATAAATAAATATGTATATATATAGTTAGTGGCATATTATTGGCATTGGGTTCACCCAGTTTTGATTGAAAACCTTCTTATCAAACTGACTGCCAGATTCGTTGCGGTGCCAGAGCCCCAGCAGCGCAGCCTGCAGAGAAAATGAGGAAAACTGTCAGCCAAAGGATGCAAAGGCCTATGCGCTTCAATGCCGTCATGGCCGATGCTTGTTGATTCGATGTCGCGGTTGAACGGTTGAGATGCCATTGGCCAAACAGTTTTCTCCCAATTCTCCTTGAGCCAAAAACAGCCAAATGGTGTTGAAGCTGACAATCTCACTCTGCAATCCACCGGATCATTCCAATTCGCAAGTGTTTTTTAACCATTCATAGTGATGGTATTTCATGGGGAAATCATGGTAATACATGGTATTACCATATTTCCACGAAAGACCATGAATACAAGCACATCATAACCATATTAGCATATTATAAGCATTATAAGCATATGATCACCATATTTCCATGGCTTTTCTCCCAGATCTTCATGGAAAAGGTAAAACCTCTAGGCTCCGGCGGTGTCTTCCGCGGTCTTCTTCAATGTGGGCTTCAGCTCTTCGAGCTCGGCCTGGGCTCGGCGGAAGGGGAGACGTTCCCCAAAGGCGTTGAACGGTGGAATGGGGTGGGAAAAATGGCTTTCTCAATCCTGGAGATGTTTTTCTGATTTGGTCATGTTCGTGTATATATTTGATAAAAAAAAAATGGATATATTTGGCGATATGATTTTTTGGACCATGTAGGATTTGGGATGGAAACGATGGGAAACGAATCAGAAAGTTAGAAAGTTGATCTCTGATATTGGAGAGAAAGAAAACATGGGTCATTAAATGTCCCCATTGAACATCACCCAACCATTAGGTATATGGTCTATAATGGCTACTATAAGGTGATGTCCAATATATCCAAAATGGGACAGTTACCAACCCCTGGAAAAAGACTGGGGAGAAAGATGAATCGGAAAGGACTTCAACGTTTGAAATATGTCGACGTTTTCGTCGAGGACCTAAGCACAGAACATGGCTCCAATAACCTTCCTATTTCGGCCCCCAGAACTCAAGCCTGCATTGTGGTCACTTGCTCTTCGGTACTCATGATCTTGTCCAGACCAACGTCATACCTGGAAAACAGTTTTCTAAGAGCTCCGTTCTGTTTCATGGCAAGCATCAGTAGTGTCAACCCAGCAACCGATCAAGCCATGGCTTATCATGGGGTGGTACAGCTGTACCATTTCGAATTGGAATGGCTATCACATGTGATATTAAAGTATTATATAATTGCCGCAATCGCGATTTGAGAGAGAGAGAGAGAGAGACCCTATTCATCATCTGGGGGGTTCCTAAGTCATGGGGGTAACCCCCCAAGGGCATCATCCCCCCTGCATCGATTGGGATTTTCCCATGGAAAGTTAAGCACCATCCGGCGAGCACCTGGACTTGATCTTTGAGACCTCATCTTGCTTGATCGAGAGGAGGCCTGGATCGGGAAACGCTTCCCCAACACTTTATGGGTGAAAACTTCATGAAACCACGCCAAAAATTGCAATATACATCGGGTATATTATGTAGTTAGGTATGTATGTAATTGTAGCAGACATCCAAATCAATATCAAAGTTCTTGCAGTCTCCGCATATCAGGAAAGTATGTTCTGAGTGGCATGAGACAATGTCAAGACAAAACGGCCTTTGAAGGCATTGATGAGCTCCAGGTAAGAAGTTGGAGTGACCTTCCACGATATCATGAGACTATGTGCTCAAAAGGTCACACTGACTGTCAGCATGGCAAACTGAGAAGTTGGCGTAGTAGTACCTCTGCACTTCTTTCTGGAACCGCTCCGCCAATACAAAGACCTCACATCAAATTGGTTCCGTTCATAATGTTCATAAAGGAAATCTACAGCGTAGAGAAAAACCTTGTTGATTTTACCATGGAAATTTAGGTTTCCTGCGGTTTCCCATCATCCAATTCAGACTTTGCAGGCCCCCCACGCTCTTCTGCATGGCCACGCAGATGTTCACAACACCTGCAGTGCACAAATTTTCTGTTTTTCTCAAAATGGTGATTTCCCAAAACCATTGGTTTCCCAACTCAAAAGATCTACAGTAAAAAATAGGACTGCCCTTTGGCAATTTAACATGGCTATTGATAATGGTCCATAGAAATAGTTGATTTACCTAATTTACCTATTAAAGATGGTGATTTTCCAGTTCGCTATGTAAACGTTTACCAGATGGTAAATCCCAATCATTTCCCAACTCAGTTAACTATTTTTTCTTTCCCAACTCAAAATGGTGATTTCCCAACTAGTTTTGGATCAAGGCTTGGAAGATCTTGGATCTCATGGCCCACAAGCTAAGCACAAAAATCGTGCCATGTATATATGTATGTGTATATGTGTGTCTGTGTGTGTGTAGGTATAAATCTATATATATATAACAATAATAATGATAATAATAATAATAACAATAATGATAATAACAATAACAATAACAATAATAATTATTATTATTATTGTTATTATTATATATATACGCAATATAATGTATACTGGGAGCACCAGCCCCCAGCACTTACCATATGCACTGGATGCTTTTTTGTATGTGCCGATATGGCCGATATGCATCCAGTGCCTTTCAGAACTTCATCTGGCATTCCAGTCTTTCCCAGGAAGTGGTTGGCCACACTCTGCAGGGCTGCATCAGGCCATTCATGGAACCTACAGGTCCGAAAGATCCCGGGCCGGCCCCGGTCCTGCTTCCGTGAAGAAAAAGTCTCCCAAGCGCTTCACGGATAGAAACGGATAGAAATCACATAATGGTTGGTGGTTTCAATCCCTCTGAAAAATATGAGTTCGTCAGTGATGATTCTTCCCATATGGAAAAATAAAAACATGTTCCAAACCACCAACCAGCATAGATAGAATCAGATAAATAGAATCAAATAGTATGTGGAAGATGTGGAAGGGACATGACCTGAGATCGCCACCAGTCGATCGTGCAGCAGTTCACCAACGATGGGAACATGCGCACCTCAGCTGCGTTCGCTGCGAACAGCTCGTTGCTGGATGATCCTTCAGGTGACCTCACGGACATCACGACATCCTGGGCCCCCAACGCGACGTCGGAAGTTCTCACCAATGGGCGAGAAGGCAAGGACCTTAGCGGCTGAATCCCCCATCATCCCCCATCATCCCTTTAATTCCCAAGGCCCAAGGTGGAACAAGGTGTCTGGTATTTTGATGCATGTCATTGAGCTAAAAGGAAGCCTGGTTAGCCTGTTCGTGTGCCTGAAATGGTGCTGAGGGCCGGCAATATGCATGTTCTTCATGCACTGCTCGACAAAGAAGGCCATAACCTGACGGATCGTGGCACGGATGGTGGTCTTCCGTGCCCACGAGGACTAAAGAAATGTTACTGGGCAAAGATGCAGTAGGACTCAGTAGGAAAAATGGACAATCCGGAGATTGCTGGACTGAGAAAAAATGGATAAATATATGCTAAACAATGGAAAAAGAGATGGGAAGGAAGGTTTATCATTGATAAGGCAAAGATACAAAGGAATACAAAGGAGACGAAGCCACGGAAATGTGAGTGACTAGACTCGTGCCTCCGCAGGACCATGTCTGCCCTCTTTCGCTGCGACGTTCGTGCAAAGCTCCAAGATTTGAGTCTTGTCCTGGAAACATCTGACAGGGTTGCAGCAAGTGAAAGAAACATGACATTGTAGACATCACTAGGTTCTTACACATTGTCACATACGAGCGTTCAGAAACAATAGAAACATTAACCGCACTTCGATACCAAGTGGTCAGCCGAGAACAAGATCCCAACTCACTTTCCACGCATTACGGGTGCTCATGGTGCCAATGATTTCTCGGCACAATGAGACTAAGATGAGCTGCGGGATCTTTGCCCATCACTTAAATCCTCCAACAGTGTCACACATCAAATTGCACACCCGAATTACCCGAATTCTCGGTTTCATCTTCTTCGCTATCTTCCTCAGCATCCGAAGTCGCGTCTGAATCTTTGGGACGCTCCGAGTGCTCCAGGTGTTGCGTGCTGGGTTCAATCTCTTGCATCGCTTTTTCCGACAATCTCTCCAGAAGTGTTTTCCGTGGAAGGCCAGAATCCAGTGGCACCGGCTCGTTGGAAAACAGGCCGCTGTGCACTTGCAATCCTTGGACTTGCTGGCCTCAAAAAAAAATACTATTCCCATTCAAGTCTCCGTTTCTAGTGGATCTAGTGGATTAACAAATGGCAAAATGGGGGAAAAAATGAAAAACAATAACAAAAACACGGTCGCAAATCCGAGAATCGCAGATAGTAGGGCGAAGAGGTCAGGTGCGACTCACAGCCCGAACGCGCCATGACAATGGAGACATAGTGAACAGCCAACACAGACATGAGGCAGACGCCCAGACTCACCATGAGCCACACCGCCCAGTGGGCGTTCTCAGAGATCAGCGCGACCATGGTGAAGATCACCTGGGATTTCTCGGCCAAAAAATGAAAAGCATAATCCCAGACAATCCCAGTAGATTCCCCAGTCATAGTGGACTAACCAATGTGAAAATAAACATATATCATATATATCATAGATCTAAAAATGTCACCCCGCCAAAAAAAAACATAAACATAAATTAAGCAAATGAAGGTCACCCAAGCAAAGAAGAGGAAAAAGTTCAGGGCAAACAGAGCTCCCAATTCTGTGAGGAAACTGATGCCGATAGACTCCAGGAAGAGCTTCAGATTGGGATTGCTACAATCTGCCACCATGACACTAGTGATGTGGGAAAAACCAAAGTGGCAGTAAAGCAAGAAGCTGAACCATGAACTGAAGACCTTAGTTCACTATTCATGTTCATCGGTCTGAAGAGGGCAGCAAACTTTGGTCCTAAAAATGGCTAGCTATCTGACCTATCTGTGTGCCAATGGTCATATGATGAGGATGTGTGTGGGGAAAAAAACATGTGCGTAACAACGACCCATCGCACCTCAGGCTCCATTTCTCATGGGAAGAAGAGTGGGTGAGTGCTTCGGCCAGGTGTGCAGAAAGGACAACCAACATCAACCAACTTGCAGATAAGGTGGGTTCGGTTAATCATCATGAGACCCATTAAACATTGCCAATTTTTGTGTATTTTTGTGGCAATACCATCTCTCTCCAGAATAAGCCGAGAGGCCAAGTAGGCGAAGCGAGTCCTGCTCAGTGGCCAGCCATCCTCATCCCAGCGCATCTCTTCACAAATGCCAGCGGCAGTGGGAATCACAGTAGCCTGAGCGACCGGTCCTGGAGACCCTGCACAAGTTCTGTGAGAGAGTTCTTTAGCCAGGTCATCTGCATGATATATGCATGTATGTATATGTACATGTATGTGCGGGGTACCTATATCTATATATATATTATATACATGTGTGTGTGTATGTATCTGTTATAATATGTTATAAATTACTCTCTATCTCGCTCTTTATCTAGAGATATGGGCAACTACCTGCAGCCATTTCATAGAAACGTCCAAGAAACACTGCAATACAAGCCAGATGCCCGCAAAGCCATCTAAACCCGAGGAGAAAAAAATGGTTAACATGGACTTAGCTTTGATGTGATGAATAGAGGTACCCCTCCAGCAATCAAACATTGCAATGGATTTTTTGCCGTTCAAACACAATTTTCCCCCTAGAATCTCCATTCAGTTCGGGGATTTTCTAGCCGGAGGACCAGCAGCAGCAGCGTCAGCAGATTGTAGGAGTCCATCTGGGCAGACAGCGATTCTCGGATCTCCTCTGGCGCTTTGCCAGACCTGTCACCATGGCGTTTCAAAGGAACCAGCCATATTTACAGGTGTCCTAAAATGGTGGTACCATGTGGTACCCCCAAGTCACCATGGGTTTCAATAGGGTGACTCGGATATACTTGGGTGCTTTGGGGTGCCCTTATTTTAGGAACCCCCTTTTTTTGGGTTGGAATCCCAGCCAAAATGGTAACATTGGGAATGGTGGATCCTAGTGCTTTGATGTGCTTTACCATTGGACCATCTGCTTTTTCCGGCGGCCTTGTCATCTTCTCGAACCAGATCCTTTTGTGGTCCACAGGAGTCAGGATATCTGTCTTCCGGACGAACTGCTTCAACCGGTTCCAGTTCGACGCTTTGGAAGGCGAAGCTGGATCTTCTGCCCTTGGAAGCACGAAGCACGAAACCAAGCAGTACAATTCTAGTTATGTATTCGCCATGTTACACCATGTTGTTCTGATGGACAAATATGGTTGTTTCCTAAAATGGGTGACCAATTAAAACCATGGGTTTCCCATCAAAAAATTGCCGTAAAATGGATGATTTGGTGGTCCCCCATTTCAGGAAACCCCCATGTGGAAAGGAGAGGGCTTCAGTGTTCAAGCGCAGCCAACTGGGCTCCAGGACTTTTTGTTCTTCTGCTCTTTGTGACTGCCACGGAGCTCAGAAGCGTAGCCTTAAAGGACAGCCAAACCAAATCCACAAAGATTTCGATGGTTCTAGGCCGCGAATGGAAAAAAAGGCCCCCCAAAATCCCATGGTAATCAAATCATAAAATGTAAACTGTCATTCTCCATCGAAATTATCATATTTGGGCGGGTGTTATTCTGCAATATTCTGGAGCACCCCCGATTCTTGGACAAACCCGCCACACTTCAAACATCTGCAAACTCGAAAGAAACAGAAATGTTAAAAAGAAAAACGACACCCCAAATGCTTGAGTTTCCGATACAACTGGAGTTTTTTATCGACTGTCAAGGAGCCCATCACAATAGCGCGGTCCACCGCACTGAGAATCCCAAGTTCTTCCCATCCTGGGTGCCCTAAATGGGGCAGGGCGACTCCGCATACTCTCTTTCTCCTGTGCAGATGGCGCATAGCCATGCCCCTTAAAAATGGGGATGGGGCCCCCAAATTTTGGCCACCCTGGTGTGGGGAAGAAGGTGATAAATCAGGGGAATATCAGTGGATTTGGGATCATAAAACACCACTTGGAAATGAGTCAAAACGAGTTCAGTTTTACCGTTTTACCATGTTTTACCCATTTTTCTCCCCCGAAATGGATGGTTTAAGACACGGTTTCTCCCCAACTTTGTTGACCCACGGCCACTTGAAGGCATGGACGTCCTGGCTGCTTTACCAACTTCCGGAAAGCCGAGGGAGTTGAGCCAATCCTGCCAAGCACCAGGCAAACTCAACTGCTGAAGCACCAGACTCAAATCGTGTACTACTTACATCAATCATTGATCAATCATCGGTCATCGATCATCATTCATCATTCATTATCATCATCATCGTCGTCGTCGTCGTCGTCGTCGCCGTCGTCAACGTCATCATCGGCATCATCATCATCATCTTCTTCTTCTTCTTCTTCTTATTCTTCTTCTTCTTCTTCGTCGTCATCATCATCATCATAATATGTTTCTTCTTCTTCTTCTTCGTCGTCGTCGTCGTCGTCATCATCATCATCATCATCAGCAGCAGCAGCAGCGATAGCAGCGGCGGTATCATCTAAGCTTACATCTAGTAGCTCAGCATGGCCAAAATATATGAAGCTTGTTCTCAACACTTGTATCGGGAATATCGTTTCCACAAGATTGTACGAGTTTGTTCTCAAATGTCCTTATGACATATGAAATCATATGAATGCTTTATTGCACCCGTGATTTCTTGGCACCTTTATCTTTGGATCCTTTGGCAGTTGAAACCGGAAAACCTGTCCTGCACATCCTTCGGAGACAATGCCAGTGGTTCTTGACTTTCACCACTCGGCTTCTGAACAGGATGGCTGTGCCCCATGTTGTGATGCCAAGGCAAATACCCATACTCCAGCCATGTTCTCTGCGAAAAACCTACCGAATCCTTTACAAACATCATTGAAAAAGAATGAAGGAAAAGGCATCTCAATCAGAAGGGTCTGTATATGTAGTTATTGAACTTTAGTGGTTTATGTAAAATGCTGCAGCTATTCTTTATCCTTGCTGGCTGGTTGCAGCATCTGAACCCTTCACCGAGCCTTCGGAACCCGCTTCGCACGCTTCAGGCCCTTCCGCTTGCGGACGTGCTGGGAGAGCGCGACCGGACACTTTCCAGCAGCTGACATGGCGAAGCATGGCGGTCGGCTAAACCCTTCTTCCAACACCTTGAGACACCATACAACATGGATACTTAGTTCTACCGTGATTCCACACCATCACTGTGAAGCAAGAGATTGCAGGAAGCATAGCCCTGGTTTGCGGTGCTCTGAGGCTTTTGCTGGAAACATCCCTGTTTTCGGCACACATGCGACATGCACCCTTCACAGTCCACTACTCTTTCGCTTGAGCCAGCCATTTACAACGAACACATTTGCCATGTTTTCCATGCCATGATTCCATCGTGGCAAAGCCAGGATCGCCAGCTGCTCCTCTGCATTGAAGAGGTTTGGCACCTCGCCTGTGTTCAGGAGCCCTGACACCTGCGGTTTTGCGGTTTCACGAACGTGGCGCAAGAGTCATGGGGATACCAATGGGGTCCACAGAAGTAGCTCTTGTTGCATCTCTTTTTATCTAATCCTGGAAACTTGGGTGTGATAATGTTAATAGTTTATATAATGTTAATAGTTATAGCCGTTATAGCATGTTTTGGCTATGCCTCGCAGAGGTCAAACCCTGCCTCTTCCACAAAGTTTTCGTTGGCAATCTGTGTGTCAGGCAGCAGGAAGCAAACCTGCATTCAACAAGAGTCTCAAACACCTTAACTGAAAATTTAACATCATTTATCATTTCTTAACTATCCTTAACTGCTTTTAATATGATTTAACTGCCTTTTGTTGCTGGTTTCATCCCCGTTACCGTTTGCATCGTTAGTAAAGCTGCACGCGTTTCGCGAATCCGCGCCTCTTTGGCCTGACCACCACAGCGAATCAGCAGTCGCTTGATGTCTTCGTGCCAATCCTTGATGTCGCGCCGGAGAAGGTGAGACAGAAGCAGCCAACTTGCGATTTTAGTGGATTTGAATGGATTTGAATAGGTTTGAATGGATTTGAATCATGTTTCTTCTCACGTCCGACCTCAAAAATTGGGTAAATTCTCCTCTCAGGATACAAAAATCCAGCTTCTCGTCACAAACAGAGCACCCGAGCACCCGGCGTTCATGCCATAGCTCTTGGTGATCTCGATCTGAAAGGTCTCCTGGAATGTGAAAACGCGCATGCATCATCAAGAACGCCAAGAAAAAGCACGTTTCAGGATAGTTAATGATAGTTAATGATAGTTAACTTTGAGATAGTTAATGTTAACCTATTTCTAACGTTAACTATCTCAAAGTCCAAAACTCATGTAACATACCAGTAGCATACCAGTATCTCAAACTCCATCGAGTTATCTCCAGCTCATGGCCGTTGCACGCCTGCTCGGCCACAAAGGCGGCTAAGGTTGCCAAGCTCTTTCGGCCACTGCCGCCAACACCCACCTGGCATGGCATAGTTATGTAAACTACCCCCTATAGTTATGGATATCATCGGATAAATGGTTATGGATAACATAGTGATATGGTCTATATATGTCTATATTATATATATATATCTCTCTCTCTATAGATATGGGTTCCCGTAAAAAGGAGATATATGTTCCCCCTAGTTTTGGAGAGATGACCAAGCCCTTTTGTTGAGAAAACAAACCTTGGTTTGACCATGGCACATATGGTTTTCAGCAAGGCGCTTGAGCGATTTTCTCCAAAACCCGGCAGGGTGGCCAGCAGTGCATTTCCCAATGGTGTCTTCAAGACCCGGACCTGGTTGCAATGCGAATGAAAGCATTGGCAAATAAGAAACACATCCCATTGGAGGCTTGGAGATGCTTGCTGCGTTCAAGATGTCCCTGGGTTCCCCCAGCCATTTGGCTCACGTGCTGCGCAGCCGCCATGAAGAGTACCAACTCCATTCCTCGCTTGGCCATGGTGTTGTACTCCGCCAAGAAGCTGTTTAGCACCTCAGAGGATGAAACTACCACCGAGTCCCCTGTCCTCCATCTCCATCCCATCACCAGCCCTTTCCAGTTTCCCCATGTTTCCCCGAAGATGGGAAAATTGTCCGTTGAAACCGAGTTGAAACCGATGTGGGGGCTAAAACATGGTAAAACCTTAACGTTTCCGGTCGATGTTCCATGATTTTCCATTGATCGTCCATAATTTTTTCACTGATGTTCCATGATTTTCTATTGTTTGTCCATAATTTTTCACTGATGTTCCATGATTTTCCATTGATTTTCCACTGATTTTCCATTAATTTTCATTGATGTTCCATGATTTTCCACTTCAACCAATGGATTGGTAAACCACCACTGAATCTCTTGACTCTTGCCACCGTGCCACCTCCACCAGTTGCGGAGGGTCTTCGACCTGGTGGTAGTAGCTCGCCTGCCGCATCTCACGTCGGGAGTCGTTTCCTGTAGGTACAAGGTGGTTTATAATCCCATTAACTATAGATATATCACCTATAAACCATAGTTATTGGAGTTATAAACCAACTTAGCTATCTAGGGGGCACCACCTAGTATGTTCCTTTCTGATGATTGAGACTGTGTCCAACTTGGTGTTTTTGGCTGTGCTGATTGAAAAAGTGGAGTGGATTTATACCCAGCACCATACCATCATCCATCCCATTATTTTCGGGATTTACGAGTACGCGGATTTACCACCATAAATGGCCATATAAATGGCATCAAAATGTATCATGCAGATGTCTATAACGATGTCTAAACCATATATAAACATATGTATAAACCATGTTTATGCTAACGGGTGCCAAACCGTACGTGTAGTTACACACATTTTCAACATGGGGTGGGGTGGGGTGGGGATGTTAACGTTCGTTAGCAGTTGAAGACGCCACGCATGCTACGCTGAGCATGTGGTGAGGTGGAGATGTGTACGTTCGGTTGAAGTTGAACACGCCACTGCTGCTACGCTGATCATGGGGTGGGGTGGGGTGGGGTGGGGATGTTAACGTTCGTTAGCATTTGAACACGCCACGCATGCTACGCTGAGCATGTGGTGGGGTGGAGATGTGAACGTTCGGTTGAAGTTGAACACGCCACTGCTGCTACGCTGATCATGGGGTGGGGATGGGGTGGGGTGGGGTGGGGATGTTCACGTTCGTTAGCATTTGAACACGCCACGCATGCTACGCTGAGCATGTGGTGGGGTGGAGATGTGAACGTTCGGTTGAAGTTGAACACGCCACTGCTGCTACGCTGATCATGGGGTGGGGATGGGGTGGGGTGGGGTGGGGATGTTAACGTTCGTTAGCATTTGAACACGCCACGCATGCTACGCTGAGCATGTGGTGGGGTGGAGATGTGAACGTTCGGTTGAAGTTGAACACGCCACTGCTGCTACGCTGATCATGGGGTGGGGATGGGGTGGGGTGGGGTGGGGATGTTCACGTTCGTTAGCATTTGAACACGCCACGCATGCTACGCTGAGCATGTGGTGGGGTGGAGATGTGAACGTTCGGTTGAAGTTGAACACGCCACTGCTGCTACGCTGATCATGGGGTGGGGATGGGGTGGGGATGTTCACGTTCGTTAGCATTTGAACACGCCACGCATGCTACGCTGAGCATGTGGTGGGGTGGAGATGTGAACGTTCGGTTGAAGTTGAACACGCCACTGCTGCTACGCTGATCATGGGGTGGGGATGGGGTGGGGGGGGGTGGGGATGTTAACGTTCGTTAGCATTTGAACACGCCACGCATGCTACGCTGAGCATGTGGTGGGGTGGAGATGTGAACGTTCGGTTGAAGTTGAACTCGCCACTGCTGCTACGCTGATCATGGGGTGGGGATGGGGTCGGGTGGGGTGGGGATGTCAACGTATATCGTGTGTTCTCGTTTCCTGTTTTGAGGAGTGCATCATAACAATTTATAATGGTTGTCATACTTCTGTTGATAGTGTCTTTCACCACGGTAACGATAAAGTTCATCCCAATGGTGATAAAAATCACCCTCTAATTTCATATGTTGGTCATTATTGGATATGCTTGGTATGATAGCGATCTTTCATATCGTGAGGATAATAACTCATCAAATCACTAGTCAGTGAGGTCTACATGCACAATGATCAATGAAAGTGGCAAGGCAAAAAAGGTCCGAAATTTGTGCTGTAAGGGTTGCAAAATCCAAGAAAAATGACCTTTTTTGGGAACATTTTTTCCTGATCAGAAGGCCACGAAACACTGAAAGGGTTGTCATTTTTTTCAGCATGTTGATGCGCCTACACGCGCGATTCCGCACCCGGCGGGATGTTTATGGTCTCAAAATCATTTAAAAAAAACATCCCCTTGAAAAATGGCTGAATCGACTGGGCCTTCGGATCCAGGAAGTCGCACCAAATCAGTGGCTCCACCTGTCATGGTACATCATCATCATCATCAATATAATACACACACATATATATATATATATACATATACTTGTAATATCTTGTAATAATGTATATATATATGTAAACTATCCACATTACTATATGCTCATGGTTATGGATGATGATGTGTGCAATATCTGTGTTGATGTATATATGTATCTACACACATCTATATACACACATAGCTCGTGTGCGCGCTGAAAGCTACAAACAGTCGCCCTAGCATCAGCATCCGCAGAGTTTGTCGCCTTCACCAACGATTTCCAATCCTTTTTGAAATTCTCCTGGCGGCAGCGGTGTTTACGCAAACTCTTGGAGTCTCACAACCCTTTGTGGGGCTGAGTATGGCTGAACGATCCCCTGTTAGTTGATGATTATGAGGGTTATACTGTTATACTGTAATTAGTTACAGTTATACTCTCCAATACTATGGAATAATAGGAGATTTGATGGGATTAGCATCACATGTCTGAAACATGTCCTTCAAAATCTCGCTGATCTTCGCCTGGAACCACTGCCTGAGAGCTGAGAGCAGCTAGGCTGGGGTTGTTTCTGCATTAACGTAAAAGTGTTTCCAGGATTTAAGCTTTTGAAATTCCCAATCGTGGCTACCCTCTGGTAATTTAACTGTGGGAAATCACTTACAATATCTCACAATCATATTATCTCCAAAAAGGGTAAATCATCGAAGTAGATGGGTCCCATGTTCCATCTTTCGCAGCTATGAGGCTCTGGATTGTGTCAAGATGCTGGTCCTCTTTGGTCACCAAGCGATCATAAAAGACACGGTGGGCTTCATGTGCCCAACACCTGCAGTCGGTCAGCAACAACGGGGATATCATGGGTAGATCATGGGGAGCTGTTACAATGCCAGTGATACAGTGATACTGGTAATATGGTGCAAAAAACCATGCCCTATAACTGCTGGTTATTTAACATAGCCATGGAAAATCACATAAAATCACCATTTTTAATAGGTAAACCATCTATAAATGGGCCATCTATACCATGGCTATGTTAAATAACCAGAGGGTAACTTCTGTGCAGTGATGAGAGAACGCATCCTCAAGGAGCCAAGTCCACGGGATTGCCTTGCCAAGTCATCTGCTTGTTCCATGGATTTCTTTTGGCAGCGGCAAATGCCCAAATGGACCTGGCAGAACCAAAGCCCCGGCACCGGGAAGTCATCTTTGGTCACTTTGGCTGAATGATGTTCATATCTGGTGCTGCGCTAGAGAATTTTTAAGCCTTCTGAAAGTTGCAGAGGTACAAATAAAGAGAACAAAGATGAACAAAGACATACAAACACTATAGAGGTGGCTGCTTAAACACCATCATTTGCCTTCGCCAAATCACGGAGGTTGAAGGTGTAATGACCTGGGGCCGAATGATGCCACCGTTCCATGAATCAGAATGAGCAGGGTGAGTGGTGAAGTTGCTGGGTAGAGTTTTGAAAGAGTTTCCAAGAGCCTATGCAAGACATGAGCGCACATCAACACAACCACCAGAAAGCAACCACTTCAAAGCTGCACAGCCTTTTTCAATCAGAATATAGTGGTGATCATTCTCTGGTTTCCCCAAACAAATTCCCCAAATTTTGCCATTCTCCCAGCGTTTGTTTGGGAAACCTCCACCCAAAGTCCTGGCTTTCACCGATCTCAGCCCCTGGCTCTTGGCTGGCGTTGGCAGCATCTCGGCGGACATGTCTTCGTAGAGTTGGATGGTGGATTTCACAACCTCAGCGCATGGTGTGCCGATTTGATGTGGTTGAGTATGTTGATCTGTCTACCCGTTAACAAACAAGATATGCATTATGTATATATATATATATACATATGCACATATAATATGCGTAATTATACGGTCATGTAATATCACATACTTATAAATTATATAAGTATAGATGAGGGTATTCCATAATCATCACCAAAATCCTACAGTATTATATTGCTATCATTATCCCTTGATCATCATTCATATTACTAGTTATATCATGTTACATTCCCATTATTACTAATATGCCATTATTCCCATTACAGATAAATATGAGTATTAGGTCATAATTCCCTTATAATGATATATTCCCATGTACAGTATATATACTAGGTAAACTCCATATTCCATCCCAATATTATTCCCATTACAAATAGATATGAGCATAATGGAGGTAATATCAGTATATTTCCCATATTTTCTATTATTCCCATTACTAATTATCCCAAGTTATTATTAGTATATTTCTATCCCATGGTGTATATAATTACCGATTATTGATATCATTCCCATTACTTTTCCCATAATTTCTATCCCATATTAGCATATGAAAATAGAAACATTATTTTCTATCCCATAAAAGTATATGTTGTATCTCCATTTCTATTACTTTTCCCATATTACATATCAGTATATGTCTCATTAGTTGGTGTACCAAGTATCAAGACACATCGATCACGGAGATCCGGCTGCGCTGCGGTTGAGGCACCGCATTGGCCACGCCGGCCACGGCGCCAGGGAAGCGACCCAGGAACCATTGCATGATGCTCTGGAAGATCCTGGCAGAGCCCACTGGATTTCCCTGAAAATGTCGGGAAAATGGATGGAAAATGGATGGAAAATGGATGGAATCGGTGGAATTGGTCAATTGTTTCTTGTGGAAAATAGGTGCAAATTGATAGAAAACGTCCGGAAACCCATGAAAAGCCCAGATTTGATACGGAAAAAAACGGTGTCCTCTAAATGTTCCCTGTAGCTTCCCCCGCTACTCCAGTAATTTCCTTCTCCCTTCGGCTCCTTTGCAAGCTCTCCTGCTCGAAGGGCGTGACCTCAGCACTAAGCTGCCAAAAGTACTCCCTTCTCCTTGATTCCTCTTGATTCATTGGTACTAAATGACCAGTGCCCATCATCTAGAGGCCCCGAAATCAAGATTGATCCAAGACAAGACTGGTTCATGTGATACTGTGCAACTGTGATCAGAGGAAGGAATCTGATCTGAATATGATCCTCTTCTCCATCTCTTCATCTCAGTCCCCAGCGAAGACCAGGTTGAAGTGCCGCTGGTAACGACCCGTCATGAATGGCCTGCCACATCGACCAAGGCATCCAAGGCCCAAAAAAGTCCAGCAGTCGGTTCCGTCGAACCCAAGGAATCCCAAGGAGCTGACCGTCCAGCACCCGGTGGGCCCATGGCACCAATGAAGATCCTGGGCGAAAACCGAAACGCTGCTGGCGGTTCCGAGGGATCCGAAGACCAAGCGGATGTCACATGGTTGGTAAATGAGGGAAGCAATTCGTTCGTTCGACAAAATAGTTGGTAGTTCTAGAAATACATCAACCATCATCAACCCAAATTGCTGGCAATCAACAATATGTCGTGATGTCTATCATCTTCCATCACCTCAAAATATGGTAAATCTACAGGAGTTCACTTTCTGAACCCATCCCCCTTCTCCGAAACTAGGTGCCCTGGCAGGTCGACCAAGTTGCGGAACTCCGCACTCTTGCGGTCGTACCATCCGCTCGCATCCTGAGATCAATATTGACCAATAGACATAGAGATGCTTAACATCTTAAGCGGCCAAAGCAGTCAGCAACAATACCCTCTGGTAAACATACAAAAAGCTATTGAAAATGGCAATTTATAGTGGATTTACCCATCAAAAATGGTGATTTTCCATAGTTATGTTAGTTTACCAGAGGGTAATCAGCAAAATCTTGAATCATGTTGAATGATCGAAATCTAACACGGAAACCCCAAGACAAAAACAAGACATCCCCCAAGAAGAATGACATTCTTATGCCTTGGTAAGGGGTTGTTCACCCCCACCATTCCCCCACCCTTATGAATGGGGCTTGGTAAGCTTCCATTTTGGGGGGTACCAAAGTACCACGAGAACCTCTAGATTTCCATGATTGTTATGGCTGTAAGTGGGCTGAGGGAAAGGCCATCCACTGACGAAGCAATTCGATTGGAGGCTGCGCGTCATACTTTTCCTGCGCAGGAAAATGCTGAGCCACTAAAGAATCATCAAAACCCAGAATATCTCAAGCTGTTCTAGCTTCCAAAGATTCCCCCCTTTCTTGCAAAATTCTAAGTTCTGTTTGCTCCTCTTGCAGCCAAAAAAGGCCAATATCTTCGTTAGTAGGCCGAAACCTAGTTCCTTCTCTAATTTCTCTACACAGGAGAAACTGGTGCAACCTGCCAGCGAAACCAAGCAAAACATCAACTCGCTTACCTTTCTAGGTTCTACATAGTTCTCCATCGACGTTTCAGTTGGGCTCCCTGATAAAAACCCTGAAACCCTGAAACCCTGCGCTACGCCATTGTCCTTCGCTGGCATGTTCATGTCATCGATGAACAGCAAGCACCTCGCCAAGGTGCTCAGAAGCAATCCGAGTGAACGGTGAGACAATCTGATACACTTCAATTTGGTGGGAAATTCACAGGAAAGTAAGGCCTCATATAGACTGGTTTGAAACCTTTTAAACCGTGGCTTCCTGCAATTCTTCCCTTCAACCCATCCAATGAGAAAATATAGGGGGGGTCCTAAAATGGGGGTACCAATCACAAGTGAAACGTGGAGTTCCACAATTCATCAAGGAAAAACAATCCTTCAGAGGGGGGAAAAAACCTCGATGCAAGATGCCCTTTTGGCAAATCTGGGGGTAGCCCCAAATCATCCATGTTAGTTTAGGATGTTCCATTATAAACCATCCAGCTATTGGGGTACCACCATCGTAGCAAAACGCCATATGAGAAACACCTCGCCTCTTTCCGAAGGGAGGGCCAAAGGTGCCCTTCTTGCGTTTGTCCAGCTTTCCATCGATGATATCCTTCACGTGTGAAGGACGCGCACGAATGACGCGCGATGCGGCATCCCCAATCGAGATGTGTTTACTAATTGGGTATGCCATGGTCCCCATGCTTTGGGATTATATGGGATTATGTATATAAAATAAGCCCCAAATGATTGGTTAAGGGGATGGTTTCACACAAAACCACACCAGTAGTTTTGCATAGCTTTGCACATCAGCGTCATCAGCGATCACCCAGAATTTCCTGCGTCTGATTTGCATTGGTCTGCGCACTGAAGGCGAAAGAGATCACCTGGGACCATTAGAAATCGCTGTCAATGTGAGTCAAAGATAACCCTCCAAAACCTTGTGATCACTTATTCTCCAGTCATTCAGTGGGATTATATCCCATAAATAGTCCATAAATGTCACAAGAATATCCCATGGTTCTTTGCCTAAAAAATATTAAAGAATGACATCAGGCACTTCATCCATGTCTCATATTCTCTCGTTCGTCTCCTGGGCCCTCGGCCGAGTATTTGTCCTTGTCAAAACCTCGGCAGGACCGTCGTTGGTCACGGGCTATGAGTGTCGCACCACAAGGCGAAAGCATGGCAAAATCGAAGGTACCAGCATGCTGCACCCAAATAAATCCCAGCTGGTTAGTCTATGTTCTTCTGTTCTCCACATGTGTATATATATATATATATGGCCCAAAAAAAATAAGAGAAGGGGTAACTGTATGACCTTGCAAGGTATTGACCTGCTGCAAGCGAGCTGCGCTTCAGTAGTTCCTGCTGAATCACGACCTGGCGGAGACGCTGGGGAAGCCCGGAGAAGCTGCTGTGCAGGTCATCTGAGTCAGTGATAACGCTGCAGGAAATATCTACCACTTATATCATTTTTTTCCCACTGTGTCCCATAGTGTTTTTTTCCTGGAGTTTTCACATGTTTTCAATTATATCATTTTATATCCATTTATAGCATACTGAAGTTGAACGCCAATGGCGAACACATCAGTGCAAAGCAGTGTCATTCAAGATGTTTACCCTCTGGTAATTTAACATAGCTATTGAAAATCACCATGTTTAATGGGAAAATCCACTATAAATGGCCATTTTCAATAGCTATGTTAGTCATTACCAGAGGGTAGCAACGATCTTCGCCACGATAATCCGATAATCCATGACTGGTTCGGACCGTTTTGCCCGTGCCCGTGAGTCCAGAGTAGAGAACATGGTACTCGCTGGCCACCTGGGTGCACAGCAATGGATCTTATGCCACCATCCGCGCGACTCAACTAATACAACCACAACCACGGCATTTAGATTCTAAAATTTAGGACTATATAGGACTATATAGTGATTATCACAGGTCTATGCCCAATATACTGGTTAGATATGGTTAGTATCATCCCCGAACTAATCATCAACTGGGGCAGATCGCAGTCACTGCTAGACACTCCGCTGAGTGGTGAACCTTGGATTCGTATCAATGAAAATAGATCCAAAAATAGGTCCAAATAGATCCAAATTAGTGATCATATAGTGATACTATCATATAATATCTGATTTCATCATGTAGTGATTTTTTTTGTGATATATAGTGATCATATAGTGATCATATCTGATTTCTGATACTTCAATGATTTCAATGGTACCCCTGCCATGATCGTCGCCATCCACGTCGTCACTGCGCGTCCCTGCCAAGGTCTGCAACAAGAACGCGCTGCGGACGGTGTCCGTGGTCGGAACCATCACCTGGTGTGCCTTGGTGTGGCCGGGCTGTTGTTACATATGTTTGCTTATCTGATTTATACAGACACTTATACCATATTCTATATAATATGTATATTCTATATATGTACAATATTATATATACAAATACAATTTTATATTATATATATACTGTATATACAATATTATATGACTGTATGTATCTATTCAGTCATTTCATGTATCGATGTATGTATTTGTCTATGATTGTTTATGTATTACTATTCATTATCATCCATTTATGTGTGCTATTATGTGCTATTTTATATGTTTTTATAGGATTTTATAGGGATGGGATATCCCAGGATGACATTTCAGGAGCCAAAAACAACGTTCGCCTCCATTGCTCCAAGTGACCAAGGCCTCTTTTGGAATGTCAAAGCCAGCGATCCTGGGCTGGATGCCAACTCCAGCAGGTCACCGTTGGTTCTGTGGTGATTTTCTCCCCCAAAAATATGGATAAAAGTGGTCTCTGATGTAATTTTGAAGCGGCAGTGGAGCTTCCATCGAAAAATGTCCATCCATGATTTCATGTTATCCATTTATCATCATCTATATGGATACGACTCATATGACTGATCATGTCCATTTCCACTTCATATCTTTTTTCCATTTATATAGCTACAAAATCTAGATATCCAGATATATCCAGTCATGGCTGCAGAAATCCAAGGGTCTTCTTGGTCCACGCTTCCCACTTGTTGGACCTCAGGTTCTTGCATCATCTCAGCGACATCGCATCGCAGGGTCCCCATGGTGAGGCTCGAGCTGGGCGAAAGCGAAGTATTCGTAGATCGAATCCTTCTCCGGGAATGGCGTCTTGGTCACTGGCCTGAAAAGTCGGGAAAAGTCGGGAAAAGTCGGGAAAAGTCGGGAAAAGTCTGGAAAAGTCTGGAAAAAGTCTGGAAAAGTCTGGAAAAGTCTGGAAAACTGGAGGCTTAGTGGATTGAAGTTGGCGTACCTTCAACCCTGTCCAGCTGATTCCACACATCCACAGAGCCACCGATTTTGAATATGTTGAATCAACACTGATCCAAGCCTCATGGTTGGATCATCCGCAATGAGGTTGAACTCATCCTGGCAAATCTGAGCTTCCCAGATTACACACAACCTTCATGGCCCAAAGAATGCCCAAAGTGGTTTGGTAACTGGTTGGGCCCAGTTGAGGGGTTCGATGGCTCCGGGTCTGGGAAATCATATATGTCATAGCTCCCAATGTGATGTTCCAGCATGTTCCAGCCAGCCTTTACAGGCATACCCTGCTGAATCGAGCGAATGAACCTTGGATCGCAATGTCCCAGCAGACCGATGGCTACATGAAATGATCGACAGAGCTAAGCCAATTGCTTATCCATCAGCTTGCGCCCTGGAGTGTCGGTGGTTGCACCGAAGCTCCAAACCAGAGCTAGCCAGAACCTTGGTTTTAAGGGGTTTGTGGTGGAGCACCCTGGCCCCAACATGCCCCAACAACTTCGAAGAAAATCTCTTGAGGCTTCAGCATGTTCTCCACCTTCACTTCCTTTTCCTTCATCGGAAGATCCTCAACTCACCAGGACTGAAAAACTGTGAAAAGCTGCTACTCACTTCATCCGCAGTGGAAAATCCCCCTGATCCCCCATTGATTCCGATGATTCCTAGCTTTGCAGCCCCATTAGGCTCAAAGATTTTAAGGATTTCCCAGTTTTTTTCGACTCCTTAGCATCCTTCTCAGGGTCCAGAGGCAGCTCATTTCGCAGCAACGCCTCAGTGCTACTCCAGGTACTCCCCAAGTGATGTGACTTGGCACATGGCACTACCGTGACATTTGGACTTGTCTGAAATTGGAGGGGGAAACCACCCAAAATCTCATCATGTTCCCAACATTAATGTAGCCATTTGGGGGATACCCCATTTTCAGACACACCAATGTGATGGAAAAGCCAATGCTTTCCCATCCTGCAATTCCCCTAAGGCTGTGGCTAAGAGGAGCTTCAGAAGGCTGCACACCAGCCAATTCTGCGTCACTGGCACTGGAGTTTTGATCTGGGCGCGAAAGGGACTGGAGGAAACCGACAAAGCTGCTTGATGGACCCCATCCGATGGCCAGCTCATTTTCAGCTGTCTCAATCCATTGTTTATCGATTATTTTCCAGATGTTTCCTGTAGTTTCCTGTATTCTCCCGTTCAAAGATCCATCTATAATCACTTGGGATTTCGCAGCCATGTTTCATTCCCCAGCCCGGTCAGTGTTTTTCCGCAGCTCAGCTTGGTGATATCTGGGACTCTCACCTTGCGCTGACACATCTCCCAGCATTGGTCCACATTTGCCTCGAAAAGGATCCTGAGTTGCTCCCCACACTCCTGGCCGTCAGGTAAAGAGGCATGCTCGCCACGACTGGAGACATAATCAGTGGTCACCAGAAATGAAAGGAAGAAATATGTACAGGATGGGACCCCATACTTAGCGTTCAGTTGCCTCTTAACTATGGTTTATGGTAGATATAACATTATATAACTATAGTTAATGGGGTATATAAACCACCTTATAACTGGGGTGCACCATCCCATATAATACTGTATATATATATATATACATAATCATGCAAATATACCATGACCATGATCATAACTAAACGGCCCAGTCAACCATGATCTTTGTCTCGCCACTTGGCCCGTGCCTGCAGTCGTTCCGGAGCCGTCTCAAGCCAGGATTGCATCAACACCCGCCAGCCAATGTCCACCTGGCAAAATCTGCGCGGCAAAGGCTTTCCATAACAAAAAAGGGGAAATTAAAAAAGGCTATGTAGGGAAATATCCCAGAAAATATGGACTTATATGGTACAGTACCTCCATTTTAGGATCCTGAAACTCCCATAGAATATGGTCTGCTTTAGCGGCTAAGTATCTGAAATTTACCACTCACCACACCTGTCAATTAATGGCAATACCACAGCAACAGCTTGGTCCGATCGGCATCAGGCATCACTATCATCACTTTTTGCACATGTTTGCACATGGCTCAAAGTCTTCCTCCAGCATGTACAGCACAATGCTCCGGGAGTATCCTCCCTCCGGCTCAAAACACAGATCCTCCGATCGCATCGCAGGATGTTTCTGCTGCAAGTACTCGATGAAGTCCTCGAATCCGAGACTCCACAAAAATACGATACAAGTAGAGCTGTCTCATCTTTCAAATGGAAAAGACGTGCTACATGTGCATGTGCGTGTGAATGACAATGGTGGATATATATATATGATAATTTGATAACACTTTCACTGCGCTCTTCAACTTTCTTTTTGCAAGCTTCCGGGTATGTCTTCACAGTACGGCCACGCAGCTTTCGTTCTGGAAACTCTTTCCTTAGCAGCAGTGGTTTCTCTCAAAGTCCATGGAGAAGAAAACTCAGTCCTCTCAATCTCGAGCACAGGTCCTAATGTGACACCCAAAACATCCCAAAACCACAAACCATAAAAACCATAAAAAGCTGATCATCTCCAAATGGTCTCTGGCCATTTGGGGGTCCCACATTAGCCCATATGCTCCATGTAATGGAAGATTTACCTACAGTTGGGTCACCAACAGGTGGTAAATGTTGGCCAACATACCATGGAGATTTTGGGGTACCCTCTGGTAAACTAACATAACTATGGAAAATCACCATTTTTAATGGGAAAACTCACTATAAATGGCCATTTTCAATAGCTATGTTAGTTTACCAGAGGGTAGCTTCCTCCAGCTTCCTGTCATCGAAATCGCCGGGCTGCGGAAAAACGCAACAAGGACACACGGCAAAGGGCCGTCGCAGGTGAAGCGCCAAGTCGATGCACGTCTCCGTGGCCTTTTTTGGTTTCCACGTGTGAAGAGAACTTCGCTATGGCGAAGTTAATTGGGGAATGGTATATGATTTGGGATGTCATTACTATATTATTATTATATATTGTTAGATATTGCTATGTATTGTTATATATTATTATAGATCATTAAAAATAATATAATATTATATGTTATTGTATATAATGATATATTATTGTTGTTATTATCATTATGACAGTATTATATCAGTATTATTATTATCCGTATTTTGTATTCTTATCACATGCGTCATCTTTGGGAAATGAACATGTCCAAGAGTCTCTACGAGTACCAGCTATCTTGGTGTCAGGATTTCGCCCCCAATCTAAACCGAGTCTTGGAAGATTTGCCTTGAGCCATTGACAATACGAGTGGAAGACTTCGAAGGGCCTGGAATCAACATCAACCATGCCAGAAGTAGCTATAGCAGCTATGAGTCAAAACCCCAGGACATGATTTTAGTACCCTAAAATCGCTGGTTAACGGATGTTGCTTCGCCCAAATATGCTACTGTAATTGGTTTTGACCCATCCCCGAGTCACCTGATGGCCACTGAACTACCGACTTCTACCAATGACCTGCCAGCCATGTCATCCCCTTCGCCTGGTCCGGATGAAAGCCCAGGATGAGACCACAAGACTCGATGGCCTGGTTGCACCGAAAATCGCCAACAAATGGACTGGACGTGGGGATGTGAACAGCTGCATACAGCCACCAGCCACCCAGATATTGCTTTGCGTTTTTTCTTGTGTTTTATTAGTGACTTTGGGTGGTTTGACCATGTTAAAGCCACCTTGGTTGATATCCAAACCCTCCCGCATGATTTTGACCTATACAAGGTGGCGCCCCGCTATAATTTGGATTACAACCACTATCAACATCTATCAACTGTAGTAGATCTATCATGATCTATCTGCCATAAACCCAAGTTGCCTTTCTCATTCTTTCTCCCATCCTCTTCAAAGCTGAGTCAGGCCTCCAAAGCCTCTGTGGCATCTACGATTCGCAACGCGCGAGGGACTCCTGCTGGGACAACAACAGCGACGGTCAACAAGACCATAAGGATGGCCAGATCATTCATATTTGTAGGGTACCAATTTTGATAATCATTTATGTAACTAAATGACATTGAATGTAATTTATCACTACAAGTAGTTTGGTGTTTAATCCGGGGGTCGACATTGCTTAAAGGGGGCCAAATATGCCTTGATTTCAGATCCAAACAGCTGTTAAGACCAAACACTTAAAATTATAGGTTTCGACCCATCCCCAAAAAAATCCAAAAAATGCCAAAAGACACATCAGAAACCATACCAAACAGGAACTCTAGCAGCCCTAGCATTTACTCCAGATCCAATCCCATGACACGTTCCGGTCCTTCCGCTCGTTCCAGCTCAAGGGATTGGTGATGTCCACAACGTCCAGTTTCCTCTGCTTTTTGCGAGGCCTCAACCACTGCAGGGATATGCAAAGGTTTGCCCCCCCCTTAAAAAAAGTTCCATCCCACAGATAACCAGAGGATAAATGTCTTCCCCACTTCATGTAGGACTGGTTACGCCTCTGTCCAGAAGGGCATCCATTCCTCTGGGCTGTTGCAATGCTCCAAAAGATCTCGATCCTGCCGCGAGAATGGATGCAGAAAACGGTGCCCATGAACAGTGAATTGGGAGGAAACGAACCCAAGCCACCTTGCCTCACCCAACGAGGAAACGTATTTAAATCAACACTTCCCCCAAATATGACATAATTACTTCCCATGAGGCCCAAATATATCAAGCTCCAGTACCAAAGCCACGTTTTTGATCGTTTTTATGGATATGTTTGGTACTTCGGAGTCCAAGGCCATTCAGCCTTCCAAGGTCCCATGCCCCATGATGCCCCATGACATGGGCCCCCGGTGTCCATGTAAACACGCAAATGTCGTGGCTGCCGAAAGGGTGGCTGCAGATCCAACTCACGCAACGGACCCTGCGGCCCCCGGCTGGCAGCAATGCTGGTCACGTCTTCGTGTCTGGTCCTTGATGCCGAAAAATGCGTTTCCCGAAAATGGTGCTGTGAATGGAGAAAAATGATGATAAACCACGACAAATTTGGGGGTAGCATGGGGTAGCCTATCTTGAGACATATTACATGCTAATTACATCCAAAAACAATTAAAGTACAGCAACATGAAAAAAACATAAAATGCCGAACACTTGATCCAACTTCACCCATTTCACCACACCACATCATAGATTGCCCCTGGAAAAAAACACTGAAACTTACCCCCAACCCCCAACCCCCAGTCCCAGCATCTGGTAGTGCCACATGGCAGTGCGCGTGATCTTGGTATGGTCCGTAACCCTTGGGTCCACCACAATGGCATCCAGTCCATCCGCATTTTTCAACAGCCAGGAGAGGTCCCCCTTCCCGCCCGCCACATCCAGCACCGGCGCGTCGTTCATCGCCCCAAAGCAGCGCAGGACAAAGGCGCGAAAGGCGAAGACGCGTTCGCGCTGAGGCACCGGAGGCACCGCGTGGCTGGTCATTCGCCAGTCAACGGGCCAAAAATGATGTCAGGATGTCTGCTTGATGTAAATGGAGGATATGTGTGTGTGTGTGTAGATGTAAGGTTTGTTTGTGCGTGCTGTTGCGTGCCTTGCTTCTGCTTGATCGATCTCTCTCTGCCTCTCTCTCTCTCTCTCTCGGATTGGATTGCAGCGACATTCATCATTCGTTCTTGCAATTTCGACCACGCTCTTGCGCCACAGCTGCGATTGGATCCATTGAAAACTCATGAAAACTCAACATATGATTCTTCGAACACTTGGAGCATTTGGTGTGATGATATCACACTGATGTCTTGATCCTTCATCATGATGTCATGATTCTTGAGCATGTCCTTAATGCCAACCTCGGATTAACGATCCGCCTGGTTGATTATGGTTGATTGTCCTAATTAGGGTGGTACCCCCTCAAAGAGGTACCCAAAATCTGCAACTAAAATGGTAACCTCAATGATAAACAGTCCAAGGATGCTTTTTGCAGGGTTCTGATCTGCGCTCAACATGGGTCTCTCTGAAAATTTTGGGAGCAAATCATCAACAAAAAACATATTCCAGCCACTGGTTGATCATCATTTTCCCCTCATTTTCCCATGTTTCAACTGGTTTATCATAATATTCCCAAAATGTTCCCATCATTTTCCCATATGTTTTCCCATTAAAATCACCATTCTGGTAGCTGTCACCCAGATCTACACAGATCTGCGCCCGCATAAGATGCGCCTGCTCCATGAAGACCATGCCGCAGCGCGACACCGTGGCAGGAGATGCAAAGGTCAAGTCCTCCGGCTCTGGATGGATGGATGGATGGATGGGTGGATGGATGGATGGATGGATCATGTGTGGGTGGGTAGCAATTTTGACTCTGACACTTTACTGGAACAGTGTCTTAGCCAAAATGGATGGTACAATGGGAATATATGATGGAATATGAAGGGGATATTGATGGAATATTGATGTTAACAGTTTGCTACGGAAATTTTGCTTCGTTGAGTTCGATGATTTAGCTCTGAAAAATTATGATTCTCCATGGCTACACTAGATTACCAGAGACTGTAATAACAATGATTATGTCAATAATAATAACAATAGTACCCTCTGGTTATTTAACGTAGCTATGGAGAATCAACATTTTTAATAGGTGAACCATCGAAAAACATCTATTTCTATCGGCCATTTTCCATGGCTATGTTAAATACCCAGAGGGTAATAGTAATAATGAATTGATAGAACACGAAACATCCCAAAAACAATGAACATATTAATATATATATATATGTGTGTGTGTGTGATCATTTGTCGGCAAATCATTATTGTAAGTGTATCATAATTTACTATAACATACTATAACATTGATTTTACAATAACTGGGATGATTATCATATAAATCCTACTATTACAAGAAAGATTTACTATTACAAGTAACATAAGCAACCCAATAACAATGAACATATCATGTCAATAAACATGATAATGGTAGTAAATCATAGTAAATCATATCATCATCATCATCATCATCATCATCATCATCATCATCATCATCATCATCATCATCATCATCATCATCATCATCATCATCATCAATACACATAGTAAATCATCATCAATAAACATAGTAAAGTGATCTTGGCAGGTCCTCTACCTCGAACATCATGGTTGTGACCTCAGCAGGGAAACGGGAAACAAAGGCCCGTTGACGAAGACCCCTTGTAGATGGCGTACTGTGGTCATATTGAATTAAAACTATCATAATTATGTTGTATATATATATATGATGTATGTATGTATGTGTGTGTGTTGCTATATCTTTGATAATCATAATGTAATTTGATACCATATCAAACCATGTCAAAGTTACAGTATCGAAGGATGTGTCCCTTCTGACAAGGCACTGGACTCAGCTTGATGATTTCTCCGCTGTTGAGACAGAGCTTCTTGTTATCCTGGCAACCGGATCAAGAATTCCGGCTGTTGATCATTGAGGGGATGCCCAGAATGAGGAGCAAATGAGCGCTCACGATTTTTAAGCGCGGCCCAGAATGAATTTCTTGGACCAGGGCTATAGAACTTATGAAATTTAGGGCTTCCACTTTATGGTTTAGAATTGATATCTGATAGGCCAAATATGCCAAATCTCCGATTCCGAGGCATAAATTTTCTGCGGTAACTTCGTCAATTGCCCCCTTTGCACGTGCGCCCGCGTGGCACGTCATCTGCCAAGGTGTGCCACTGAGAATTCGGGCATCGAGGACGGTGTTCATGTTTTCGATCCACACAGCATCCACGGGCCCATCCTCATATTTCAAGGCACAAAATCCCAGGAAATGGCGATTTTGACAGAGGAAAAGGCTGGAAAAAAGTCGGAAATCTCATTGAAACCCACCCGGTGATTTTGCTATTAGTTTTACAATGTCTTACTGTGGATGGAAGAAATCCTGCACCAGTTGATAGGTGGTTAATCCCATTATTTCTAGGGTTTCAACCATCCAAGGTGGCAGGATTTCTTCCATCCACCGTATGTCTCATTCGGTTCATAGAGCTGATGACTTTTGAGAGCGCCGGACGGTCGCTTTGAAATTGAGGCTGCCACTAGCATGATCCATTGACGGTGAGAGGGATCAGCGTTGGCAGTGTAGCGGACCTTGCAAAAAGTGATGGTCGCCGAGCAATTTAGATTCAAGCAGGAGAATGATAATCAATAATAATTTAATAAGTATATTGATCCCTATTTTGGTGATCCTGGGAGAACTATAGGAGAAGTCTCAGGCAATGCAGGACAACTGCCAAGATCATGTCAGACTTAGTTCCAAGCAGTCAATGCCAGGATGCCATCGGTCCATTCATGGGTGTTCTCGTCAAAGTCACCATACAGCTGGCCCTGCTTGATGGACCTGAAAAAATTATGCGCTGAGTGAAGGTGTCGAAATCCTAACCACCAATTGCAACATGGGCGTGTCTGAAACTGAATTATGTACCAGTAAAACTGCATCTGTTAATAGGGAAAATGATGAGAAACATATGAGAAACTATCAAATTTATGATCGACATGTTTCAACAAAACTCGGCTTGATCCGATGAACATTGGCAAAACATACAGAACAACAAATTCACAAACTTCATCAAACTTCCAGGTAGGATTGCGGCTTGGGATTGATTTTGTGAATCTGCACCGGCAGGTATAGATCACCATCTGCCACAGCTGCCAGAGCTGCAGATAGAACGTTTTCGACCTGGCCAGTGGACTCAGCGAATTTGGATGCTACACTGCTACACGTGGCTTAGTCTGAAAATGGGATACCACCAATTCCACTGGATCATCCAATGATATCCAATGGATCATCGCCAGAAAAAATATGGCCATAGGGCGCACCACATCTTCAGATTAAAAAAAAAATGGACTGATGGGAAAATTTACAGGAAACCCCTATATTTGATGGTAAAAACCATGGTTTCCTGTAGATTTTCCCTTAAACCAATCCATTGAACATTACACGAACCTACCTCGCCTCTGTCTTGCCAGACACGTTCATACCTCGCAGGCAGCACCGGCAGCACGGCGCCGAGGCCGGGTTGCGGCGTTGCGCGACATCTGAGGCATGGGCCAACCACCATGAGCCCGTGCCGCACCATGATGGTCTCCCAGAGCTGGGTGCACTTATGGATGAAGGAGCCCTGGCAGTGAGGTCTTTCAGGTGAAGTTACTATGTATATATATGTGTGTGTGTGTTTTTATTTATTTATTTATTTATCTATTTATGTATTTAATTATATTTATATTTATTTATTTATTCATTTATTGATTAATTTATTGATTTATATTTATATTTATCTATAGACATATGTAGTCATCCCCAAATAGATGGAAAAGTAAATCCCTACTAATTTCATGGCGATTTACTTTTCCATCTATTTGGGGATGACTATCTATCTATCTATCTATCTATCTAATCTAATCTAATCTAATCTAATCTAATCTAAATCTAATCTAATCTATCTAATCTAATCTAAATCTAATCTATCTATCTAATCTAATCTAATCTAAATCTAATCTAATCTAATCTATCTAATCTATCTAGGCAAAAACCTCTTCCAAGATCTTCCAACAAGAAACGGCCGCCCCGGTCCTTGGGCTGTAGGTGTCGAGCCCGTGCCGCTCCTTCCAACTCGTTGATCAGCTTGCCGTAGTCGGAGGGAGGCAGCCTCAAACACCAGGCTCTCACCGGCTACATATGGTCATCTATGGTCATTTATGGTCATTTGAACTGGTTTGAACTGGGAAGATATGGTGATGAACCATGATGAACTCATGAAATCTCATAAAAATCTCATGAATTAGTTTGTAACTAATGGATTTCTTGGGTTTGCTAACTGGTGCTCCTATCATGTTCGAGGCACTTTGTTCCAGGGAAAAGGTCGCCGGTAATGCCAAGGAAGAGCGGAATGTCCTCGGAGGATGCGGATGGGATGTGGGTATATAATGGTATATATACTATATATAATACACTATAGGTCATACCCTATAGTAATATATCATTTTCCAAAAAAATCAAACAGTAATATATGTATATAATATCTATATTATATATATATAGGTTTTTGACCCATTCCCTAGTACTGCATCATCTCACAAAATTGATCTCGTCAAGGCACGTTGGAAGTGAACTTTGGCAGGTTCACATCATTCAGAGCTGACAACATCAAGATGTCTTCTGCACGGCTGCTTCCAAACCTTGGGAAATTCCCAGGCTGCAATCATCGCAGCTGTCTGGATCTTGCGATCAGATACCCTCTGGTAAACTATAACATAGCCATGGAAAATCCCCATTTTTAATATTTTTAATAGGTAAACCATCTATAAATGGGTCATTTCCCATGGCTATGTTAGTCATAACCAGAGGGTAGATCAGCAAATCTCACCGCAGCTGTCGGCGTCTGAGTTGCCCGACTTCTTCCGCAGCTGCCCGGCGGCAACCAGAATGGACCTGGGCCGCAGCTCCGTGGCAAAACTCCAGGACAGTACTTAAAAAGTGCTGCCATCAGAAACAAACGGGTTTGTCTGAAAATAGTGTACCCCTACAGCCAATGGTTAATGATCATTATCCCTACTAAATGGCTATAATTGGGGGTATACCCCATTTTCAGACATACCCAAACGTGGAGAATAAGCTTCCCACTTGAGGGCACGCATGCCAAAGTCGTAGTGGTCCTGGAGTTTTTTTAAAAAAAAGTGACGAAAAAATCCGGCTTGGATGATGTCTGATCAAGGCATTTTTAAAAGCGGCCGGTGTTAGGTCCCAACCCAAATCCCCACTCAAAATACTCAAAGAAACAACAAAACTATATGTATATATAATTTTTTAAAAAAATGAACAAATCAGAGTGTCTAATCCCATCCCCCTAATCTAAGGGGCTGTTTAATATTGGGGGGATGGGATTACTACGGGACTTGGCTGTCGGATCCCACCTGTGAAGAGAGCTGCTCGGATCCCAGCCGCAGGCTGGCGACGGCTTTGGCTGCCAAGGGCTTGGCATTTCCAAAGCCCACCTGAAAGGAAGCGAATGGGAAAAGATCATGAGAAACTATCGTCTCTCACCAGTATGTGCTGTATGTGCATGTATGTGCCTATAATTATATATATTATATATCTGTGCATGTGTGTGATATAATGCATAGGTACTATGAATGTATACATGACATTCTTCATAGCATAAATAGTATTAATACAGCATATGGCACCATACATCGTTGCATCAACGTTACAATATGTTATGCCTTCGTTCTACAATGGGCATGTGCCCGAGCTCCAGGCCGAGTACAACACGATCTCCCCAATCAAGGCGTAGTCTGGCACCATCATCGCCTTGGAGTCGCACAAGCAGCCGCGCTGCTTGTACGCCGCAGATCCGAAAGGTGCAAGCTGCTCAGGTGCCGGCACATGGTCGAAACAGGGCCTGTCACACGGCTAGGCAGGTTTTTCAGGTCGAATCTCTATTCTTTGATTATATTACCCTCTGGTAATTTAACATAGCTATGGAAAATCACCATTTTTAATGGGAAAATCCACTATTTCTATGGTCATGTTCAATAGCTATGTTAGTCATAACCAGAGGGTATATCCCATTAAAACCACCATTTTTGTTGGTTAAACCCCATTAAACCACCATTAAACCACCATTTCTGACCCAAAAAATAGTTTCAAAAGGGCACCTTTCCAACCTTCGTAGGTGCCAGGCGCCTTCAAGTTGTCCGGCAGCTCGGACCTTCCAGCGTAGCCGGGATTCCTTGGGAATTCGGGGCATCAAAGCTGCAAAATGCGGGAGATATCCCAAGTATGCTGGAGATATCCATAAATAAGTATCCATCATGTTGCAATCATATTCTGTTATCTCCTATTTATGGAGAGGGAAATCATGGAAATCATGATGGAAACATATGGAAATACAACATGTTTTCAAAATGCTTGCTGTAAATCATCGGGCATATGGGATTGAGTGAGGTTCCAAATTGAGCCAACCCCGATGATTTGTTCCTGAGAACGGCTGCGGCCGTTCTTACCCAACACGGCTGGGGGTCGGGCATCGTGATGTTCACAGCGCAGGTTGGAATCAACTCCAGTTCGGTCTCTTCAAAGATGAAGCGGCGCTGGCGGGGAATGCAGCAAGCCACATCTTGCCATCTACGGCTGTCTCTTTCTGGGCGATCTCTGAAAATGGGATCGGATACCCTTCCCAAATTGCTCAGTTTTCATGTATTTTCTAAGTATATGATGGGGAATGAGGATGACCGTGCCTTCTTCATCCTGATCGCCTCTTGAATGCATGCGACCTGGCCGGAGATGAATTGAAGCAGTGCTTTAACTGGTGATTTAACTGGAAATGGCATATGCATGGCATATTAAAGAGAGAGAAAGAGAGAGACACAGAGAGAGAGAGAGAGTTTGGTATGTATGGCATGAATGGTTGGTATTGTATGGATGGATGGTATGGTACGTAAGTCTGTTGGGTATGGTGTGTTTGATATGACAGTATGTATGGTCTGTATGGTATGTATGGTTACTATGATGGGTAGGGAATGTTTGCTATGTAAGGTAGGTATGGTATGTATGGTATGTATGGCATGTATGTTTGGTATTGTATGTATGGTAGGTGTGGTAATTATGTTTCATATGTTTGGTATGTGTGGTATGTATGATATGTACACTAACAATTGCATAGCGTAATCACTCGGCCATCCCAGCATCTATTTCTGATCCGGTCGCTTTGCCCCAAGGTGGAAAGAGGCCACCGGAGCAGAAATTTCAGACGATGATTATAGCAGTGAAGTTGCACTACCAGTGGCATAGCGTAATTACGCGGTTGCATAGCACATGTATATATGACTATAGGTAGCACGTAGGTACTTTGAGGGAGTATGTGTGCTACGTAGGTCGTCTAAAAGGTAGCATGTACCTAGTAAATGCGAGGCTGGTAGTCAGAAATGCTGCAAAGACCTAGCAAATACGAGGCTGGACCTCAGAAATGCTGCCAATAGCTTGCAAATAGAAGGGAAGGGGGTGCTACCTGCAAACCCATACCATTGGGGGGGTAGGAACACGGAACACGAGACCATATATAGGGTCCGGAATTGTTTTGGGATTTTGTTTTTCCGTTTTGTTTTTTTTGTTTGATCTGCTTTTCTGCCCGTTTTCCTTGCTATTTGAAGCATTTTCGAGCTGGAAGCTGCCATTTCAACTGTCTTTGCAACATTTTGGAGTTGGAACCTCTCATTTTCCATAGAATTTGCAACATTTTGGTGGAATTAGTAACATTTTGGAGCTGGAAGCTGCTGTTTCAAGGGTACTTGCAGCATTTTTGAGTTCGAACCTCTCATTGCCGATGGAATTTGCAACATTTTGGTGCTCGAACTGTTCGTGTAACATGGTAGTTCTCGACTAGGGTTCATGTAGGGTTGGTTTTGGGGTTAGTTTAGTGTTTTAGAGTTAAGGTTTATGTAGGATTTTTTTAAGGATTTGCTTAGGATCTTTTTAAGGTTTGTTTAGGGTTTATTTAGGCTTGGTGTGCGACCTATTTGTGGTTGGTTTAGGACCTGTTTAGTGTTAGTTTAAGGTTTGTTGAGGGTTGGTTTAGGATCTATTTAGAATTGGTGCAGGACCTATTCAGGATTGGTTTAGGGTGTGTTGAGCGTTGGTTTAAGATTTGTTTAGGTCTGGTTTAAGATCTATTTAGGGCTGGTGTACGGTTTATTTAGGATTACATTCAAAATTTAGGGGCTGTTTAGGGTTTACTTGGAGTTGCTTTAGTGTTTCTTTGGTTGGTTTGGTTTTTAATGGTTGAATTAGGGCGTATTTATTTATATGAATTTATATGATGTTTCTTAAGGATTATCTGCAGTATGAGAAACAAAAAAAAGAGGGAAAAACAGATAAGCAAAGAAGCAGGGAAAAGCAGAAAGCAAAAACGCTGGAAAAGCAGCAAAGCAGGGAAAAGCAGAAAAGCGGAGGAAGAGGCAGAGAAGCGAAGAAGCAGAGAAGCAGAAGCAAAGAACTATAGTAACTATAAAAGCAGAGAAGCAGGAAAAAGCAGAATAGCCAGAAGCAGAGAAGCTGAAAAGCAAAGAAGCAGGGAAGCAGAAATCAAAAAAATGTCCAAAACGGGAAAAAGTAATTCCCAAAATAAATAGCCCTCCCTAAATAAATAAATAAATAAATATATATACAGTATATATCACCAACCATATCAAGTAAAAAACAAAAATGCCATAAACAACTATCATTTGGAGATGATCTCGTTCACCCAGTTCACTCTTGGAGATGGTTCGTTCTTTTTTGGCCTGGGTTTACCACATGGCCTGCTGAGCAATCACCGAGAGGACTTCCAAGTCGATTCGGTTGAACTCATCGAAGCAGCACCAGGCACCAGATGAAGCCAAACCTGCCCCAGAGCCAGATGCGGCTGGCGCATGAAACTCATGAAACTCAGGAGGCTGACATCTTTTGTGTTTCAAATCTGTCTGTTTTATGAGGGGTCTAGTCTACCCTCTGGTAAACTAAGGCAGCGAACTGGAAAATCACCATTTTTTGAGAGAGAAATAGTCATATACTGAAAATCACCAGAAATGATAGGTTTTTGAAACGTGTGGAATCTGTGGCACATTGCCGTCCTTTGAAGAACTTTCCCATGGCCAAGTAATCCAGACCATCCGAGCAGTTGAAGACCACCTGAGAGCCGCATCCCAGCTATAAACCAATAGAGGGGGGTTCAACCAAATAATACCTTATGACCTATATAACATATGCATATATAGTTTATATATATATATAAATATGTATGTATGTATGTATGTATGTATGTATGTATGTGTGTATGTATGTATGTATGTATGTATGCTGTATGTATATGTACACTGTATGTACATGTAACACATATATACACATACAAACACATATATATATGTGTGTATATGTGTATGGAGGTCCATTTACAGTATTTGCACCATATAACACATTCACAAAAAACTGGTGTGTAACATGTTATAACCATGTTGTAACCATGATATATGGTAACTACAGCGCACATCAACAGCCAAGATGCGCATTGGACTGACATCGCCTTGGCCAAGTCCTGCGCAAAAAAACGGCAGGAACGATTGGCTGCAAATCCACATGAGGCCGTGATGCACATGATCTTGGTGCTCCGAACTTCGTCAAGTAGCCTACTGAATATAATTATAATATATGTATGCATGCATGCATGCATGGATGGATGGATGGATGGATGGATGGATGGACAGATAGGTAGGTAGGTAGATAGACAGACAGACAGACAGATAGATAGATAGATAGGTGTGAGCGTGCGTGTGTGTGCGTGTGTCTCAATATTCATATACATATATCATATACCCTCTGGTGAACTAACATAGCAATGGAAAATGGCTATTTATAGTGGATTTTCCCATTAAAAATGGTGATTTTCCATTGCTATGTTAGTTCACCAGAGGGTACATATACAACATATACAGAGATCCGCATAATCTTGGCCCAGGGTGATCCATCGAGCCCAGGCGGTCCTTGGTGGACTCGGTCTTGCCAGTGCCTTGGAAAACTGCGGGGATTCACTGAGGATATACTGAGATAAAATGAGGATATGTCAACGGCAGTTTCAGGAACCTAAATTGGAGGTACTTATCATTTTATATAAGGCCTATATAAGGCCTATGTAAGGGAATATCCCCACAAAATATCGCCTGATATGGTCCAGTACCTCCACTTTAGGATCCCGAAATTCCCATTGAATATGCTGAGGATACAGCGGGTATCTATAGCAACTCCCGTGTTTCTTTTCACACCACTTTCTGCGTATCCCCATAACAATCCCAGAGATCTATTGACATAAATAATCGCAACAGATTTCCCTGCCATATCCCCCTTCAATCCTCCATAGTTTCCCCATAGTTTTCCCATTTTCCATAGGAAATCCTTCTAAAATCCCCATAGTTTCCCCATCTTCCCATGGCAAATCCCCATCGAAAACAGCTCTAAGCTCAGCTCCTGCAGGCCCTTCCGGTGCACCGCCATAGAAGAGGTGGAAGGCCCCCATCAGCGTCCTGTAGCACCTCACGAGTGGTGGTAGATGTTACCAATAAATCATCCCCCAACACTGTAGTTTGGAGATGTTTGTAGAAATTCAGAGTTACCAAGAGTTACCAACTGGTGCAGGATATAGTTAATACGTATATTATGCATGTGTGCGTGTGCATGTGTATATTTCCAACGTGACCAGCTTATTATGCTTTGGATGATGCTTATTACATACCCTCTGGTAATTTAACATAGCTATTGAAAATTGCCATTTATAGTGAGTTTTCCCATTAAAAATGGTTGATCTTTCCATAGTTATGTTAGTTTACCAGAGGGTAATTTACATATGAGGTCCTGACATGTCCTGGGGATCCCCATTCCATCCCATGGGTGTTCCAGCTCTGATCCCACACCTGTCGGTCAAAGGTGTGACCACGAGCCGATCGCTGTTGCCCAAATATTCGAAGCCGTAGAGGAGAGTGGCCTTGGGACACCACCAGCACTGGGGAAAAATTGGGGTGTCCCAACCATGACTGGGGGCCATTATAGATCATCCCGGTCACTGGGGCTATTGTTAATTTGAAAAAAAATGTTTATGAATGGGATATGAGTGGTTTGTAAATGCAGTAAGGTAAACCCAATGAGATTAACCAACATTGGGGATCGTTTATGGCATTGGGTGAATCCCACATTAAGCACAAACACTTGGTGGATATGTCTGGATGCAAAGCAGAAATGTGCTTGGAACGTAACCAACCCCAACAAACCCTTCATGAATGACCCAGTAAAAACTCAGCAGAGAGCGTTGATGATGGAAACTTGGCAGTTGTCTGTGGTGCTCGGCCTGAGTGGTGGAGAGCACCCATGTACTGCGCTCACCGCTCACCTATTGACTCTCATGAAATCCGCTGAGTCAAGAGCTTCTGCGTCTCGTACATGATGATGGATCCAGTTGGTGCCTTAGTTCTAGTACCCCCCCAAAAAAGATTGAAAGTAAATTCCTATACGATCCTACTAAAAATATCTAAAAATAGTGAAGAATTGTGCTGTTCTATCTTTTTGGGTGTGAATATACCACCCAGCAGTGCCATGGAAAAGATCCTAGCTGTTCCTTCCATCTACCGAGCCACCCAGTAGTACCGAAGCTGAGCCATCCAATCGAAGTCCTGCAAAACCGGCCAGGGAAGAATATATGAATATACTATGGTAGTTTACCAATGATAAGCCCATTTTTTTGGTGATTTGCTTGGTGATTTAAAATGATACATCTGATTATCTGATTTGAGGAAATTCTTCGTACTGCACCCATTTTTTTCAAGGCAAAACAGCTCGGAAAGGTCATTTTTCCAGGGTTTACCACATGAATTTTGCAAGACATGTCTTGCGCCATCCTTGGAAGACGTGATCTTGGCATCACGAAGGCTGCCCACCACGTCTCTGTTGTGGACATCGATTGTGACCATGGCCTGGGCCCAGCTGGGCATCTAAGCATCCAAACCCAAACCAAAACCGCGTGAAATTCCATTGAATTCCATTGATTTCCACTAAATCATCAAATTAGATCCCAATCAATTCCATGAAAATCCCCTATGAAATCCCCCTTTTTTTTGTGACTTCCCCAGCCCTTAACGAACCGCCGCGGTGCCGTCAGCGTGCGGCGCGCCAGCTTGGAGAGCTCGCCGCGCACCAGCTCCACGAGGTCGTGGAGCTGTGTGGCACAGACCTGCCGCGCGAATTGGTCGTGGGCCGATTCCGATTTTCATGGAGATATCACCAAGTAAACCTTGGGGATATCCATGGGAAAATCATGAGGAATGATAATTTTCATAGTAATTCATGGTGATTACCGGGGAGATAACTAATGAACATATAATCAGGGCGAATCATGGGCAACATTTCGCCGATGAGTAACGATTATATAACGGGGATATTAATCATGGAACATGAATGGAACATCATGGAATTAATCATTGAATTATGTAAAAACCATTGAATTCTATTTATTTCCATTGGATGAATGGAACATAACGGAATTATATAAAAACAGAATGGTATATAACCAATGGAACTATCAGGGAATTATGGAATATGAATGGATGATGAATGGAGATACAATGGCATGTACTGGGATAATATAAATGTTGTGTCTTAACCAAGAATAATTTAGTGATTTCAATGATTCAAGGACATATTTTTATAGGAATAAGACCGGGGATATTCGCGGAATACGAATGGGATATAACGATATGATTCATGCGGATTACACCAACTGCACATGGAGATATAATGGGAATGTAATTAATATGAAATTTAGTTTCCTACCCTCCGGTAAATAGTGTGATATATTGGTTGTATATTCATGGAAGGTCAACAAGGATAAATGGTATATTCGAGAAAGTGTTCTCAACTGTAAATAGTGTGATATATTGGTTGTATATTCATGGAAGGTGAACAAGGATAAATGGTATATTCGAGAAAGTGTTCTCAACCAACAAAATTGGTGGTATAATGGTAATATAATGGAATATGAATGGGATATTCATGGAATATTGGCAATCCCCTCCGGTAATTTAACATGATTTAACCGTTTGCTATGGAACATGGCTCATGTATAGATGATTTATCTACAAGAGATTTGTTGTTCTCCATTGCTATATTAACTTGGAGATTGATCTTGTTATGGGCACAATCGGTGAAGCCTTCCAACAAGAAAATGGACAGAGCTGTAGCCACAGTGCTGCCTCGTAATACTGCTCAAGCTTTCCTTTTTCGATGGCTTCGGCCACCTCTTGAGTCCAGTAGATGTTGTCCACCTGCAGAAAAGAAGTTTCATTTCCAAGGAAGCCAGTTCAATGGGAATTTCAGGATCCTAAAATGGAGGTACTGTACCATATAAGGCCATATTTTTGGGGGATATTCCCTTACATAGGCCAGTGACAAGTCAGCCGAGGGGAGGGAAACTACTGAGAATCGGGCAGCAATGACAACCTGACCTGGCCAGTCCAGCACCTCAAATCAAGCTGATGATGCCGTCCCTTGGTTGCAAATCATCAGTAGTTTCAGTTTATAGCTATTGCTGTTGCTATAGCCGTAGTTGTATCTATACATATATATATACATACATATATATATATATATATATATATATATTATGTATACATATATTATAAGGGGGGTTCTTAATATGGGTTTCAACCCTAAAATGGTCCAATGTTTGATAATCTGCTAAGGCCCCTGCCCATTTGTCCCTCTTGGATTCCGCATAGGCGCGCACCGAATCGCCCATGATCTGGGCGAGCTTCGGAACAGAAAGGATGTGCATCTTGGGGTTACAGCTGGTGGTGGTCCCATTTACATTGTGGATACACCTATGATATACATATATAACACTATGCATGTTATATATATATCATATTATGAGATATGCATGCCATCAAAGTCTATCATATGTCATATGCTGACATACTATATCTGAAACTCAATAATTAGATGGAACATCGCAAAGAATATACTACACTATTAACACTATCCAATATACTATCAATCAATTCATATGGCAGTGTGTCAAAACCCATAGTACCCCTGGATTGTTCACATCAAAATAGCTGGTACATAAATGGATGTGAATAACCCACTATAGTAATGGTATTTTCATAGGTATTGATCCATACCCACCTATCAATTCTACCAAGGTCCTTTAAAAAAGGCACTGGTGGTGGCCCTGGTGGTGGCCCTGACGCTGCCTTCGTCAAGGTCTTGATCATGGAGTCCTGGACCTCCAACAGCCAGCGTTCGACGTTGCCCTTCTTGTCCCCCTCGTTGACATTCACCTGGAGGAGGCTGGGAAGGTGCTACCCGGCCTGGTAATGACTAACAAAAAGCTATTGAACATGGCCATAGAAATAGTGGATTTTCCCATTAATAGCATGGTGGATCTTTCCATAGTTATGTAAACGTTTACCAGAGGGTATGGCCTGTGCCTGGGAAGCACTAAAAATAGGAGCGAATACGTGGGTCAAATATGGTCAAATCCGATTCTTTGAAGTGGTGATGAATTACTTTTCGAATCTTGTTTGATCTTTGTTGGGGGTTACTGTACAACAACCCCCAATGATGGTTGCTATACTACTATAAACGCAAACGACGGATGTACTGGATGTTTTGTGGGGATGGGACCGTTGCGGTTGGACGCTTTGGATGAGATGATAACCTCTGGTAATCTAAGTCACTTTGCCATGGAAAATGGCCATTGTTGACAATACGTAAATCATCTACAAATGATGAGTTAAAACGGCAAACAGTTGTTCAAATCAACTTGGGGATATATCAGCTCCAAGCACTCGTTGAACCAAGGCAAAATTCACCCAAGTATTGCCATTCATCAACCAGTACACAAAAACGCCATTGGTCACATCAGAAAATTGTTGGTTGCATACTTAATATTCCCCATTCATTAACCTTTACATATACCCTCTGGTTATTTAACATAGCCATGGAAAATCACCATTTTTTTATAGGTAAACCCAGGTAAACCATCTATAAATGGGCCATTTTCCATGGCTAATGTTAAATAGCCAGAGGGTATCCATGATTTTCCCATTCATTAACCTTTACATATCATATATATCATGTATATCTATATATCATATATCCATGATTTTCCCATTCATACCCATTCTACATGCACGACATGCACCAGGCGTTGGTTTTTCATCCCTGCCTTGTTCACGAGTTCCACGACTTCGCCTTCCACTGACAGCATGGCCTCAATGATCTCATCGGTGCCGTCGAAGCGAACGCGGTTGATGCCTGGACAGGCGAAGTGCCCTCTGGTAAACCTACAAAAAACTATGGAAAATCAACATTTTTCATGGGAAAACTCACTATTTCTATGGCCATTTTCAATAGCTATGTTAAATTACCAGAGGGTCAATTGGTGTCAAAACTCGTGAGGCGAAAATGAAAAACCGCAACTATGATGGAGATATTTTTCCAATGGAAACTAGGCCATTTTTTGGCAATTGATGGCAATTGCAAATTATCCACTTGGATATTATTGGTAGAGCTCCCCAAGAATTACATAGAATTGTCTAGACATCTGAAAAAATCTCCCCAGTCCCCGCATTTTTCACACGGCAACGATGGCCTTCAAAGCACTTGCCCATGTGTGGCTGCACAGCCGTTGGGTCCTTTGTCTGAGAGAGGATCATCAGCAACTCCTCATTGGACCTCAGTCGAATGGCACCCCTCAATGAGGCTGACAACTGGTGGGAAAACTGATGGGGAAATCATCTATCTAGGATTTCATCCAAAATTCTGAGGAGAATATTGGGAAATCATCTATCAATCGATGATTTAATCAATGGATATGTTCATCAATCCAAGCAGATTTATGTAGGAGCAGCTGTTTTTGTAGGGATGTCCTGAAAGTATCTGAAAGTCTGATCCTAATAACAATAGTCCTTTGCACAGGCTGCACAGGGTAGCTCTGTAATGTTGCCCGTGCGACTTGAAACTGGCCGGGGACCAAGCAGAAAGAAGAAGCGCGGGAACGCCAAGCGCTTAGTTTCCAGGTAGTCATTGAGGCACTTCTGAATCTGATCCAGCCTGCCATCACATTCACATCATTCACATCACAAGTTTTCGGGCTTCGCTCCAGCTACCCTCTGGTAATTTGTTACATAGCTATTGAAAATGACCATAGAAATAGTGGATTTTCCCATTGAAAATGGTGGATCTTTCCACAGTTATGTAAACGTTTACCAGAGGGTAAACAACATTAAACGACCGTGTCTCAGAGTGGCGTACTTTTTGTTGGCTTCAGTGAAGTGCAGCAGAAGGTTCTCGATTTCCGAGACATCCAGGACCTGATAACCGGCCATGATGCGGCCATCAGCCCACTGTCCACTTCCATTTTTTGTCAAAAAAAAACATGGCAGTGTGTCAAAACCCATAGGTACCCCTGGATTGTTCACATCAAAATAGCTGGTACATAAATGGATGTGAATAACCCACTATAGTAATGGTGTTTTCATAGGTATTGATCCATACCCAAATGGCAAGGACCACCACACCTCACCAAAAACTGAGGTGAAAGCCAATGGGTTCTCATCCACCGAATTCATGGTGCCTCGCCAAAGCCTCAAGGGATGCCATGGATGGCCATGGACCAATGGAAGCGGTGCGAGAAAGTTTGACCGTAGCCATCTACAATGAAAGTCAGATGAGCCATGATCAGAGCATGGCATGGTCATCTAAAACACAATATCACTGGATTGGTTGAAGAGAAAATCTACAGGAAACCATGGTGTTCCCTATGAAATATAGGGGGTTCTGGTAAATGTTCCCTTAAACCAATCCAGTGATAATATCCAGAATGGATCAGAATGGGAATGCGCAACTCCTACGGCATCTGAGATCAAGACTTATCCACCGCCTGGAATTTCTTTGCTTCATCAGGCATTTGACGCACCTCAAGACTGCTTTCTTCTCCAGAAACTCATGCTCGAAACTCTGACTCCTTTATACTTCTTTGTGCTTCTCGATTCTTTATATATACTTGTCTATGTGTCTTTGTACTGTGGGTAATGTGGGTAAGACAATGTCATAAACCATCCCCCAGTCACCATTTTTAATAGGTTTATAGGTGGGCAAGCGGCGATGTCTTCCGAGCTGAAGATGGGCTCCAGGTACAACCAAGTCCTGGTGCACCCCTCTGTTGATGGCAAGCTGGAAGAATCACCCAGCTGAATGTGAGGCTTTTAATATGGGAAAATCAACTATCAATGGGATACCCTCTGGTGAACTAACATAGCAATGGAAAATGGCCATTTATAGTGGATTTTCCCATTAAGAATGGTGATTTTCCATTGCTATGTTAGTTCACCAGTGGGATATACAAAATGAAGCATGAAGAATCCAAGTTTTATTGTTCTCTTCATGGTCTCATGCTGCCTTTTGCGAGCAGTGGTACTTTACTACTCTTACCTTTCCACGGCTTTCAAACATGAGCGTCCTTTGGACCATGAGCCACTGTTCCAGCAAATCCTGCACAGCATGGCCCCAGCATGGGCCCATCAAACAACAATGCTCCAGAACAAGGCCAACACAATCAGTATCTGGGCTTGGTACCTCACAATTTTGGCCTCATGCGCCCTCTTGAAATTGTAATGTTTGCATCTTTTTGGTGTGTCTCCCATTGGACAACCCCACACCTAATCCCCCATCGTCATATCCCAGGCCTGGATGTAAATGAGCTTCGCCTCCCAATCCTCAGAAGATTGCGGTCTCATGAAGCCGGCATTGCGGCAAGGTGGCGTACCCAAAAATGGGCTTTGGGTAATTCATTGGATGGTCCAACTGGGCATACGAATTGGGTTGAACAAATCTCGGGGAAGCCCCAAAATCCCATGGTTGGAAATCCAACCTCAACATGATTTCACCTTTTTTTTTTGGGTTAGGCACGGCCCAACTGGAAGGAACCCAACTGTTTTTTGTGGCATTGGGCCGTGAATTTTGTTGACGAAGTAAGCAGAGGAACCTGCCTTCACCTCCTTCTCAATGGGCTTTACGAATGGTGAACCGCGAACTGCCTTTTTTGCGCGTGCTTGAAGGCTTGGGCTGGGGGAGTTGGCAAGCTGTGAAAAGGAGAATTTAACAAAGGCAAACTCACCCGAACATGGAGGTTCTCAGGTTCCCAATTGAAGAATGAACTACAAATTTCTTCCCAGTTTATGATCAATGGAATCTATAAATCATAGTTCACTATAGAAGTATTGGGTCACTACTGAAGCTACAGAAGCGCCTGCGTCTTGATGATGTGATCATCTAACAAGGCTTGGACATCATCTGCTCCTGGAGATGTTTCCAGCTGCCCGATGTGTTCATTCGATGCGACTGGCAAAAGTTGGGAGATTTTGCAGGTTTTGTTAGGTCCTTTCAGCAGGAAGGTTCCAGTGTTCTTGTACGGAAGGGTGCCAAACCTGAAATGTCCCGCAACCATCAGCGAAATCCTCAACAGTCTCAACACCCAGTAGATTTCCACAAGCGAAGCCGTAGCTGGGAGAGCCCCTTAAATCAGAGCCCCTGGCGCCATGGCTTTCCACTCATTCTTCATCGTCTGGAGAGCCACCTGGCAGAACCCTTACTGAAATTAGGCATCATCAGGATTCATCAGGCATGACTCAAGACTCGCAGCATGATGCTCCATTTATATGCCGTATCTATGGGTTTGTATATTGGGTACCCCAAACTTCTGTGGTTGATATTGATTGATGACCATTCTTCCGCAATGTGGTCAACTCCACGTGATCTGCAGCCGACCTTCAATCCATGCTGCTTCTGTGCAGAGGTGCTAATTGCATCAACCTTCTCCACATGGTCCAGCATGCCCGCTTCCAGGCACCTCTGAAGTAGAATCATCACACTTTGCGGCATCTTTGGGGCTGAGTGTTCACTGATGAATTGGCGTGTGCACATTTACCTGCATATTATTAGGTTTATGTATACAATATCTGTGTGTGCATGAATCATGCATAGGTGTAGCATAGCAGCCACACAATCGCGGCATTGGCGGCATCTTGGGGGCAAGCATCAGAGTCATTCTCTTCTTGTTGGTGGTTCCAAAGATCGAACCCCAGGGGAAAAAAATTGTCTGCGGTATCATCGCAACGGGAAAAGTGACTAACAAATTCCTGAAAAACTGACATGGTTCGACCCACAGATCGCAGTTTGAGCCACACGCTCTACTCATATCCCACTCAATCCCACTCTGCATTCAAGCCACATATTCAGGGTCAGGCCATCCTCCATGTCAATATCCACATCCATATCCTGCAGCCATGCCCATGGCCCATGGCCCCAGTCGTCTGCCCATCAGGTTGCCTCAAGATACATCCCCTAAACCCCTGGTGAGTATCATAATTGTCCCGTCAAAGAGATCGTCAAATATCACAAAATCATACCAAATCTGGTTTTGGGACACCCAAAACCTCAAAATTTATCAACTTTCCCCATGAAAAAAAAAAATCAGCTGCCTCAAAGAGCTGCAGCAAATGGGAGGTTTTGATGGCCGGCTGACACAGGCCCTGCGGTGCGGCTGGTGACCCATGGTCATGCCATCTGAAAAGGGCTGAAATTTCCGAGACTTTTCGGAGACGATTTCGATTGGGATAAATGATGGAAAGTTAGGGAGAATATCACCAACAAAGCTCATACAAAATCATCCCACATTTTCTGGCATTTTTTTTTGAATCAACTTTCCAACGTGACGGGCCGCTGCGCCTGGATGATGGGCATGTTCTTCTTGAAGGCTTGCACCGCGGAGCGCAGTTCTTGCGCAACCTTCTGGGGATTCGGCGACCCCTCGAAGGACTTGAAGGCTTTGTAGGAGTCCTGGCGCAGGTTGACGCACCGTTCACTGGGTGAGTGAACTATGGATACTATAGTTTATTTATGGTAGATATATCTAAGTAGTTGCAATGGTGTATATATATATATGGTTATGAACCATTATAAACCATTGTAAACCAAGATAACTAGTCATAGGTGGGGGACCACCTATAGATGGGACAGAGCGGCTGTCTGGATTCCCCAAATGCCTCAAAGTGGTGGATGATCCAGCGGATTTAAAATGTCAACTCCGCAATACCTGGAATTAACATGAATTAACGGGTTCAACTTAATACTGGATAATTATGGATGATATCACTAATATAATTATAATATGAATCAACTTGGTATAATTTATTATCTAGATGATATCACTGGATAATCATGGATGATCCATATCCAATATATCCAGAAATCGACTGAATATCACTGTCCGTTCGACTGTCCATCCATTCCCTCCTTGAAATTGTCATCCACTGTCTGCTCGACATCTGCAGCCGACAAATTCGCCAGTTTTCCGCTGAGCCACTCCTCTTCGCACCTTGCTCTGAAACAGTGAAGGGCTAAAAAAAAAGAGGCACCATTATATGAAGTAATCACTCACGTTAAAAAATGAATCTATATATATATATAATTATATGTGTATATATATATGTGTGTGTGTATGTATATGCACATTACATATGTTAATCTCTTAAGATGTGTATACCTAGTGTTTGTGCGTGTGTGCGTGTGTTGTATCATAACATTTCATAGCCAAATTCATCTCATGGCCCAGCAGAGAAGTGATCCACTGGGGCAGGCACCCGTTGTAATCTATGGCCATTGACCAAAGATCGAAGTAGGGCTTGTACTCCTCTTGAACAACCTGTGGCTGCCAGTGGCGAAAGCGCTTTCAAAGCAATTAAGATGCAACATAGGAATCATGGAAGACGAAAACAAGCAATGAACACTCACGTTCTCGGATTCTTCTTTTACAAGGCGCCACAGCTAAAGCATGCTAAAGCAATCTTCAGTTCCCATCAGTTCCCCTCTGGTACCCTCTGGCAAACTAACATAACTATAGAAAATCACCATGTTCAATGGGAAAATCCACTATAAATGGTCATTATCAATAGCTATGTTAAATTACCAGAAGGTAATCTCAAAAATAGCTCAGGAAAACCATGGGAAACACCTCCCTCGCGAGGCTCCGGCCTCGAGCTCGGAGTAGTCCTTCTGATCGATCTGGAAGAGCTTCTCCCGATCCGAGAACGACTTGACCTGAAGAAGCGCGGCAGTCAGAAATGGTCCAAAGATGTCCAAAGCCTTGTTCCTTGGTGAACAGAAACAGGAGAAACTGGTCAAAAACTGGGATTCCTTCGATGAATTGTTGGATGTAGGTGGATGATGGTGGATGTGGATTTTCACCCCCCCTCAGGGAAAGTCATCACATGAAAAAAGACCCTGAAGCGCCCTGAGTCCCTCAGTCACGGACCCTGTCGGTGGCCCGCACGAGATTATCCTCGCAACAAGAAGCATGGAGAACATGATGCGTGTTGATTATTTGTTTGGTGAATTCTGATTTTTTTTTTTGAAAAATGGTGGGATTTTCAAAATTCAACCAAACAAAATCCCCAGAATTCACATGAATTCTCACTCATCAGACTTTGAAAATCCGCTCCTGCAAGGTCTGGATTCGCTGTGCCACTTGCCCAGCCACCGCATAGGAGTCCAAACCCTTGACCCATTCCAACTCCTAGGCCCAGGACATGGCCATCTGCCAACAGAGGGGGGAAATCATGGGAAAACCATGGAAAACCCCATGGAATCCATTGATAAATAAGGATTTTCCCTATTGAAATGGTATGAAATGGTGACCAAATAGTGATTTTATGTGATTTTGGTGGCCATGGACTGAGGCTGTCACTGCTTGGTACTTCTGAAAGTCCACTTGGTACTCTTCAACTTCGCGTTGCAACTGCTCCTCCAGAAGGGCTTGGGTTTTTTTCTTTTGGAAATCTATGAAACAGATTGCCTCACACTAAGCCGCTGACCATAAAGGCAATTTTGTCCTTGTTGAGCTGTCGGTCCGCCCTGGCCACGTCACGCCCATGCACAAATCCCCGCAAGGCTTGGTGCTGTCGCTGCCGCTGGGGTCCCATGCTCCATGACATCCATGTTGATTTGAAGTGGCCACTCAAACCTACAGGGAGACACCGCAACAATACCAAAAACACTGGAGAAATTGCTGTGGGAAGTTACATTGCTATATAATGCTATGGGCTATATATATATATACATCTCTGTGTGTGTGTCAAATATCCTATCCTCCTAATTTACCCTGTGCATAGATGAGAGTTTTCACTTCTCAGCTCCCTTTTTTCTTGTGTTCCAGTTACTAAGCCGTTACTAAGTTCCAAACGAGCGGAAGGCTTTCTCCACCACTTCGCCTCCGACCTCGGCCGTGTCGGCTTCGGCTGTCCCGTCTCGGATCCTTCGGATCCGAAGCAGGTCTGAGCTCGGTGCATCGTGGCTGAAATCCTCCACCATGTTCATTTGTTGATGCACCACACGTGTGCGTTCCTGAGTCTGTCCATGTCTGTCCGTTGTCATTTTTTGTGGTCCACTTTTAAATGGGGTGTGGAGAAGGAACCAAGTTGGGTCTCGATTTCTGGCAGTTCAAGAATGGGGAGAATCAAAGTTTAATCATAAATAATCCGTGTGAACTCATTTAAAATCCATTAATATATTAATCCATATTTCTGGCTATCATTTGAATCATTTATTTCATCCATGCCATAATCCATTGGAAGGGTAGCACCTTTTTTCAGAGAAACCAAATCCGCCAGAGCTCCATCAGTGGCTTCACCACCTTCCTCTGCACCACTTCCATGAACTCACGCAAATCCGCCTGCCGGCAGCGGGCCTGGGGGCCTGGCGGCCTGGGGGCCTGGCTGTTTCTCAATGGGAATTTCAGGATCCTAAAATGGAGGTCCTGTACCATATAAAGGCCATATTTTGTGGGGATATTCCCTTACATAGGCCTTACATAGGCCTTATATATGGTAGGTACCTCCAATTTAGGTTCCTGAAATGGCCATTGAGTTTTGGGCTGTTTTTGGCTGTTTTTTAACATGTTGAAACATGTTGAAACACATCGAAACTCGATGCCCAGCCATGTCTTTCTCGGATTCTGGGCTGGCAAGGATGCGCTTATGCGTGTCGTCCTGAGTTTCACCCGCCAGTCCGGGGTCCGGCAACGACATGAGGGACACACTGGATCTCAGCTACCAACCCATTCAGTGAGGATACCATCAGCCCTCTCTTCAATGCACTCGCTACATTGGCCTTAGCACAGTTTACTTTAAACAACCTCTCTTCATTATCCTGGAGCGATATCAAACAGCCACCAGGGGTTGATAACTGATAACGTCTGTCTCCTGCTTACCATTACTCATACTGCCAATATGATCCGACATGCAAATGGATCTAGTATCTATTGAATCTATTGCCTGGCTGTGTCTTTCTCAAATGGTTTGTTTGCGCAGCTGTCTGACGCTCTGATCCGATCCCTTCAAGTTTTCCTGCAACTCAGCAGTCTGTTGACTTCGTAAGAGTTCAACGGAGGCATTCTTGGGCTAATTCTTCAGCCTTGCAGCATTTTCTCAACGTGTTTCCATAGATGGGGGTACCCCAGCTGGATAGTTAAAAATGGACGATCCTATTGAACTGGATGATTTGGGGGTACCCCCATTTTAGGAAACCTCAACATCTCAAAGCACCCCAAACTGTGACCACTGCGCTTCACTTGAGCGCCTTCTGTGCGAGCAGGTTGATCATGTCCCCACACCGCAGGCGGAACAGAGGGAAGTCCTGCCACAGCGATTTGGGTACGGTCGGCTGGAAGGAACATGATAAGTTGGCCATTGGGGGAAATCCTCCGAATATTCCTCTCAATCATATGCCCAAAAACGGTCCACGATGCTCTCGGACAGCACTTGCACTTCATACTTGGCTTGTCTGTAGGCTTGAATGCCTCAAACGAGTCACATTGAGCACAGTAGCATAAATGGCATAAGACGTTGTGAGCGGCTGGATCTCAAATCCCTTTTGTCCAGACTTTGGCGAAGTGGGCGTCCTTGTTAAACTGTTACTCTACCGCTGGTTCTATCTGTATGCATTCCTCACTTGACGGGGAGTTTACAAGCCCTTCGCAAGGCGCGACCCTCTGAGGCCAGCGAGGGCCCCCAACGCTCTCTGCAGCCATCGATGTCCGTGGGATCAAGATCTGCATCCGTGCCAACAATAGGAAGTGCAGCTGAAAAAACGTGGCCAAAATGATCCGAAAATCCCCAACCGGGCCGCATCCCAAAACCATGGCGGGTGGGTCTGTTAGTCCAAAAATCAACACGGCCTTCGACTTTTTCTTTCAGCAAGTAGGAGTACTTCCGGAACCTTAGCTGATGCTGGCTGAGGCCGAAAAAAGGTGGTCCCCTTGTGTGGCTGTGTCTCAACATGGAGTACACACCCCAATATTAATATTGCATCTAATTTTTTTAAAAAAAAAATATTATATATGATGTTATAGTTCTTGATATAGTGAGATATCACACAATCCTCTGGAATTGGAACTGCCCCATTTGTCAGACAGCCCAGGTAAGGAAGGATAATGGCCAACTCCCAATGCTTCCATGCCACTGTTGAAGGATATGTCCCGGCCCCACGATGCATTCATCAATGACCTGCGAGAGATCACAGGTCTTTCTGGCATTCTTGGGTGCAATTATCTGGGTCCGTCTTAAAATTGGGCTGTACCCGCAATTTGGAGGTATACCCCCCAAGTGTCTACGGGGGAACTGATTCACCATTGAATTTGGGGTACCCTATATTCACAACAAACCCATATTGTTACCCTGCCACTCTGAGATAGCCTCCACAAACATGTAGATACAACATATAAAACTGTCCGCCCCAACCCGGACGTTCGCCCATGTCCAAATAACACACCGAAACAATGTCATATACTTGTCACCTGGGGAAAAACGAAAACACTGGCTATACGCAGCAATATTTGACTTTAGGTTTCAGGATTTAGGGTTTAAGGTTCTATGGTTTTAGGATTTTTTGGGTTCAGCGTTTCAGGGCTTCGGGTTTCAGGGTTTAGGGTTTATTGTTTTGGGCGGTTTAAAGACGCTAGCCCTACGCAGGGATTTGAGCATGTCAAAGGATATGCGGGATCTGTCACGGGCAAACGTCAGGGTTGCAGCGAAAGTGTCTTCAATCCAATATCAATCCAACCAAACAGGGCGCAACAAAAGCGCAAGCAGTGTGATCATTGTGTGCAGCCTGCCTGCTGGGTGGTCATGCAAGCCATTAGGAGCCTCAATCCACCATTCCGATTTGCAAGTCGGCAAGTCAGGTGGAATTTTTATGCGGCCAAAGCCGATGAGCAGCCACACTTTCAGGCGTCTGCAGCAACGCTGAGCCGGCAATCTGGGAAGCTATGTACATGGTGACTCCATAGGGTCACCGATTGGCATTCAAGTACAGGGTTGAGTCTTTGATATTCAAAGACTTCCCCAACAAGACCAGCAAACTGCCTTGGACGCCCAAGACTTTCAGATGTGCTCACTTGCCAAACCAGCTCTTTTGTGCTCTGCTTCCGGTTTTCCCAACAGGATCCTGCAAACGCAAAAACACGTGCCCCCAAACACAGATTGCAGCCATCAGGCATTGGAAATGTCATGTCTCAGCGCAAGGGTGGAGTTCGATCAAAATTGTAGCACCAATGGACCCATTGATTTCTGTCTTATTTTTTGGTATTGAACCATCAATTGTGAGGAGTTAGGTCATATCATATCACGGCCTCGTCTTCCTTTGGATCTTTTTTCTTCTCCTTGGACTCCTTTCGGGAGGGGTCTTTGTCCTTGTCTTTCCTCAGGCAAAATCCGCCAAGTCATGTTACTGCGGTTCTAATTTGATCTACGGATTCTTGCAACTACTGAGTTGGTCCGGCAAATGCAAGCGAAATCAACCTACCATTTGCTATAATATGAGTTGATGAATGGGTTTACCTCATTATATACAGTAATTTGCTATGAGGTAAACCTATTCATCAACCTACCATTCGGAGATGGTTTCTACCACCCTTAGAAATGGTGATGACCTGGGGATGGCGCAAATGGCATTGGATTTATTGTTACAGTAGTATGCTATAGAAATAATCAATAAACTATATCATCATCTGTAAGAGATCATTGGTAATTAATAATCTATATATATATATAGGTATATATATATACTAATCTATCTGATAATCTACAGTACATAATATATCATAATATAATCATTGCTGGCACAGGTGCTTTTCTTTTTTCTCCTTCTTCTCCTTCCTGGGCTTGGCCGAATCCCAAGCCCAACCCTTTGGAAAAACTCCGCGTCCTGGCAATCGGCTCCAAGGACCCGGCTCATCGGCCTCAAGCAGCGGCTGATTTCCAGCGGCAAAATCGACCATTTTCAGAAGAAACAACTCGGCAAAGCTGAAAGATGTCATGAAATTGGCCATATATAAATCATATAAATCATAATCATAATCATATATATATATATATAATCCATGTGTTGATGGCAATTCCAGGATTATAACACCCCCAAAATCACCACCATGATTTATGTGGAAAATGTTTGATGACAACCAGTAAGGTGGCTCCAATTTGCGCAGCCAAGCTACAGAACTGGCTGCGGATTGCCTCCTCTCCTTGGAAAGGGGTTGTCTCAATGTCTCAAAATGCGGAACTCCCAAGGTCCAAAGAAAATTCGGAACCCCCAAAAATCATCAAAAATCTGGATCAATTTCATCATTCCCTAACCAAAAATCTATGGAAAATCTCCGGTGCTTTCTCATCATGTTTTCCAACGTTTCCAATGGCCATGTTTTTTTTCGCACCAAATCATCTCCCGGAGCCTCACCTCTGCAATTGGCTGCGCGGCGCCAGCAGCCTGGGAAGCCACTGAGATGGTGCGAATCAATGCATTGGCATTAAGGGAACATGAACAGAAAACCCATTGGTGGTAAACCCTCTGGTGTCAGCATGGCTGGAAAATTCTCCAAAATGGTGGTTTCATCCGGGGAAATCATCGATTTTTCACATGTGAAATCCCAAATATGTGGATTTCAAGTCCTGCACATCTTCACTTTCTAGATGGGGATGGGTCAAAACCTATGAAATTACCATATGTGGGGGAATAACAATCCATTAACCAGCTATTTTAGGGTATCTAGGGTACTAGGGTTTTGACCCACAGCCAGATCTCTCTAACCACTTCTTGGAAACATCCTGGGGTAAGGAACTACCACCGACATGACGCCACTTGGGGGGTAAGGCCTACCAGCTGCCACGGCCATAGTCTCCTTGCAGCCAGGCTTCTGTACTGACGTCACCAGTGCCAGACCCAGCCCTCGGCTGGAAGATGCTTTGATTGGTGGGTTCAACATGGTTCAACCTATCCCAAGACATCCCAGTCTGATTTCCGAGTTTTCGACTGGAAAAGGTTTCCAGAAAAAATGAAACCACCCATCAGATCATTGGTTAGATCATGTGCTTGGGGAACTCAAGACGTCGCTCCAACTGGCTGGCCACTGGACAGTAACCGTTACCCTCTGGTAATGACTAACAGTTTGCTATTGAAAATCACCAGAGAAATAGTTGAGTTTTCCCATTAAAAATGGTGATTTTCCATAGTTATGTAAACGTTTACCAGAGGGTATATCAAATGATATCCCTGCTATAAATCTCCATTCTCGGTTGATGGAACCCCACCAGAGCTGGTTTTTTGGACACCGGGGCACGGTGCTTCCGCCGGAGCGTCCTGGTTGTGGATATGATGGGGATGGGGATGGGGATGTAACTAGCCAAGAATGATACTATCATTTGGGTGTTTGAAAATTGTGCGCACACACACAGATATATATATATATATACACCCACCTCATATGGCCACTAAACAAAAATGGAAAAACGATGATTAACCATCAGATTTGTGGGTTTCCCAATCTTCAAATGTCAACAAAAGTCGTTGGTCCTCGTTTGCCGCTGCTCCCCATGCACCTGCCTTTGTCTGTGGCTGCACCTCCTGCAAAGTTCAGTGGCTGCACCTCCTGTCCTAACCCGGTTCCCAATCTTACCAGTTGGGACGTACTAAAAACATGCCCCAGAGCCCCAGAGTTTTCTTGAATCCTTTTGTAATGCGATGTCATAAACCCCCCCCAATGCCTTACTGGAGAGGGTATGAACCATCCACAATTGGAGGTTTGGCACTTGTGATTATCTTTTCTGCTGGAAACATGACCCATTGAGTTACCCGTAGATGCCCATCATTCAAACAGATTACATGCTACCAAAAATATAATAGAATAAGTCAAAACCCTGGCATAATTCTGTTCACATCAAAAAATCAAAATAGCTGTTTATGGATACCCACCAGCCACAACCCATGAAAGTCCATTCAAATCCCATTTTTTCCCCATGTTCATCCACCAGTCTTAACTTCACGCATTCTGACGGCTCCTGCGTTGCTCGCACCGTCGGCACCTCCTAGGCTGGATGCCACTTTGAGATCTTTGAGAACGTCAGTTATGGAGTGCGAACTCAACCCGAACTTCAGAAAGTCTGTGGTTTGTCTAGAGTAGATGTATGATATATGCATATTATATATGTCAAAGGGAACCAGGCGCTAGGTGCATGTATCATATGCACATACCAACATACATTCAAACGCCCTTTGTGGCTCAAGCGCCCCTTGAAGGAAAACAAATCGTGCTGTCGCTGCCGCGCCATAACGGGACTCGGTTAACCAGCAAAGCAGGTATCGAAACTACATTTGGCAACACCTAGAACAAGGGTAAAATTGCTCACAGGTTATCAGCCGTAGGGCTCACTTCTCCCGTCGGGAGAGTGGTACCTGCGTGCTGGTAGCCGGGCCGTCTGAGCAATTGATTGAGGACGCAAAGGACCAATCAGCTCATCATCGCAAAGATGCAAGGCGGTAGCGGAGATTCGCGCACCACGCAGTTTACCTTCAACGAGAACACTGCCATGCCGGTCGAGGAGGTCAATCAGTCTTCCCCTGGTGACACGGCAGACAGTGGTGGGATACGCTCTACCCGAACTACACAGTCCGGATGGCAAGTAACGACAAACAGACGAAGGATATCCACCCAAAGTACACCAAGATCTTCTCGAAACAGTCCTCGGAGTGATGTTGTCCGCCAAGGGCATCGACCATCTCGAGGACGAACTACTCCTAGGGACAGATCCACCAGGGCCGTGACCGACCGAGTTGGTGAGAGGACCGGGGATAGTCGTGTTAAGAGGAGATCAACGGATACTTCTGTGGCTAGTGAACCTATTGCCATGATAGAAGAACTACGGGCACAATGTCAATCCCTACGTAGTCAGTTGAACCAAATGGAAGCATACGCTGCATCTAGAGATCAACTGATTCATGACATCGAGATTAGATTCACCGAATATCTTCAGGAACACAACCAGAATGTGTTTGAGGAAGTCAGTGCACTCAATCATAGATTGTCACGTTCCGCGAATGAGGTTGCAGAATATCAAGCAGAATTAATGGTAGCATCTCAGGAAGATGAAGGTGCAACAATACGCATCCAAGACCTTGAGCGCCGAGGTGCCCTAATGGAACATGGTGCACGACGGATCCATCAACGTGGTATGGAGATCCAGGAGGAATACAAGGATGAAGTACATCACCTTCAAGGACTATTGGGTAATACGGAGGCAAGACTTCAACAACTTCATCAAACTAATGTCTTAACCACCGATATTGCCAACTGACTATACAATGAAGGTCAGGAAATGCAAACAGATTTCCAGAACTCAATCATGGAATATCGTAATCGATCCGAAATGGCGTCCTTCTCTAGCAATCAACTTGAAGTGATTAGCCAACAACAGTCGATTGCAGTTCATGAACTATCTGAACGGAATCAACTATTGAGTGAAGCTTTGGTTCAGTCTCGTAAACAGGCCGAGCTGTATGAAAGCAGTATTGACGAGATCACTAGAGAATCTAGAAAGAAGGTTTTCGAGGCAAATCAGGCCAAATTAGAAAGTGATCTGAAGCATCGAAACACCGAACATGATACCGTCAAAAGAATTGCATCATACAGGAACCAAGAGGCCGAAGCGATATCACACCTGAGGCTTGAATCACAGGCCAGCTTGAATTCGATCGCGAGGGCCGAGCATTATGAAGAGCTCTACACCAATGAGCAGGAGATGAACTGTGAGTTAAAGGATGAGATCAAGTTGCAGAACACGAAGTTGCGGAGATCGTTGACTCAGGGTAATACGACCGACGGTCGTGGCCCCGATGAGATGCTTGTTGAAGATCTACGTAATCAAGCCAAAATTGCTCAAATTAGGGTTCAGGATCTAGATCATGAAGTTCATGAATGTTTACAAGAAAACATGTTATTGAAAGAAAGATTGGCTGAAGTTGCGGATGTAGGGGCGTCGTCCCTCACCAATGCTGAGGTCCGAACTCTAAGATCCGAACTAGAGAGTGAGCGAAAATTGAAATTGGCTAGTGGTGTTCAACAATATGAGAGATCATGCATGTTCATGGGGGAAATCCAGGATAGGGATGAAAAGATTGGCATCAAGAATTCTGAGATTGTTGACATGAAACGTCACTTAGATGAACTGAGAAGAAGTCTCAAGGATTCTGAAACATCTATGGCTAGGATCAGTCCTGACACACTTCCCTATTCGGCAGGCATTCCCAACTCCGATCTCGCATCCAGACTGGTCATCGACAAACTGGAGAATGACGTGAGTGAGGCTAACTGTGAAAACGCTATTCTGAAATCTTGGGTTTCGCAGATCGACAAGGAGTTGACTTATGAGACAAATGTGGCTCATTCCTATCGTGGGCATGCTGTACCTCCTCAACAACAACAGCATTCTCAATCAAGCAAAAGAATCGCTGATCTGCTGAAAGAGGTTGACAACAAGATCGCTGGCGGAACTGAGAGGGACTATTACAAGCCACCGAGTGGATGGGGCGGTCCGCCTGACCCTGATGGACCTCCGGACCCTTTCGGGCCTAACGGTCCAGGACCACCTCCTGAACCTCCAGGTTTGCCTTCAGTTCGAGGATCACAACGCGATTCAGCAGATGATGTCTCCACAGCGGCTTACACTGCGGAAGAAGTACCGAGAATGTCAAGACGAGAGGCTGACAAAGTCTATGTTAGCCCATGGCCAAAGCAACAGAATCTTGGGGTTTGGCAATCAGATCTCATCAAGAGTGTTGTTCTTTCGGCAAATGACGGGGATAAAGCCGCATGGGAAGCATGGCTACAGCCGGCTATTCGACCAAATCCTGACATCGAGCTATTGAATGACAGTGGGGGGCAACGGTATCAGTCCATCGACGCCAAGTTGTCAATTGCATTGTCAAACGTGATAGCCCAAGCCGGTGATGTTGCTCGTCATGTAGCGATCAAGTTGAGATTGAGAACACAAAGTCATAGCCGAAGAGGAACCTATGTCATGGGACGGGAAATCTTGGCTATGATTCTGGAGCACTTCAGAACCCCAGGTCAACGAGAAACATCCTTCACCATGGAACACATCGTATCGATGAAGTATCTCGGTGACTCGAACCTAGAAGTGTTCTACGAGAAATGGATGGAGATGGTATCAAACATGATGCCGGATGACGTACCTCCTGATGATTGGCTTCGTGATGCTCTATACAAGAAGATTCGAAATTCGAGTCTTATGATGTTCGACATCAAGCAGTACGAGTCATGGATGGAAGGAGACCAAAGACGAAATTATCGCTACTTGTTGGACGTCATCGAAAGGCACATCTCCAGAATCAGAGAGGACAAGCATGTGGCCGCCAGAGAGAAGTATGCGAGAGACTTTGCGGGTGGCGGCAAACCTTCAGCTCCTGCTCCGAACCCAACTGCCGCTGCACCGGATGCGAATCCAAAAGCGAAGCCTAAAGCTACTCCCAAGGAGAAGGCAGCGCCCAAGGCGAAGGCCAAGGCCGATGCAGCTCCAGTTCTACCATCACCTCAGCCTAAACAGCATGCAAAAGGAAAAGGAAAAGGTCAAGGGAAAGGGAAGGATCGAGCAAACAGCCGAAGTACCAGCCCCAGATCCAAGAAGAAGATCCCATGTCATTTCCATTTCATCAAGAAATCATGCAGAAAAGGCAAAGATTGTGAATACAGTCATGATCAAAAGGTGTTCGAGGCGAATAAGAACGCAAAAGGGAATGGTCGAAAGCCAGGAACTCCAAGAAGTCAATCTCCGGCAAACAAGACCAAGAAGATTGATGAACCATGCTGGCATTGGGCTAAGGGCAAGTGTCGGTATGGAGACAAATGCAACAAACGCCACGATCCTCATCTATTTAACACTGCTCCCAACACCGAAGCACCAAGCTCAAAGGCTACTCCTGCACTTGTCCATGATTGGAGCGATGATGAAGAGACGTTCCATAAGATTGCATCGAACGTGGTCAAGAAGAAGGTCAGATTTGAGGAGTCTAAGACTCACGTTCAAACCTACGTAAAGAAGGACTTCGTGAAGTGCAATCGGAAATCTCAGACTGTCTCCAAAGGGCATGGTAAAGTTGGAAAACCCACTGATCAGATAAGGAAAGATGAGCAATGGTCTTATTCATGCAGGTTAGCTTCGAGCCGAGGGAAAGCAATGGCTATTCTGATCGATGAGAAGGGTGAACACAGTGACATTGATGAAGTCCTGGTCATAGTCGGCCCTAGCATGGACATCCTGATCAGACTCGACGTCGAGGACGGTGAGGTGTCCAGGGAAGTTTTTGTGGAAAACTATGTTCAGCATATTGAAGGTCGATATGGTAAAAGGGGCAACACAATGTGTATCACTGTTCCTGTTGAAGAGAGAGATAAGAGATTCATATTGGATTCTGGAAGTGGTCATGATCTCATTTCATCCACACGAATAAGTAGAATGGATCTCCCAACATACGATGACAAGGTCGTCAACTTCCATACAGCAAATGGGGTAACGTGTTCGACCAAACGTTCAAGCATCAAGTTCGAGGCATTTAGCGAACCAGCAGAAGCTCACATCTTGGAGGACACACCCTCCGTGCTCTCCATGGGGAAGCGATGCGTTGATCTTGGTTACTCTTTTGTATGGCCGACCGGAAGAACTCCATTCATGTTGGATCCAAATGGCAACATCATCGAAATGACTGTTAAAGACTATATTCCCTATGTGAGCGTCGATCAAGAAAAGATCAAGTTGAAATCATCTTGTGTGGAGAAGATCATGGCAGTTCTTGATGATGGATGCTCAACATCGGAAGGTGAAGGTCTTTTGGTCATTGATGGAGAAAGTGGGGATGAACTTGAAGATCTTTCCGACTCCGTTGGACGATCCAATGTTAAGTCACCCAAGAGATCAATGAAGAAACGTAAGAAAGCTAAGGTAAGAGATGATCAACATGAAGTGGCTGTTGGAAGTGATGCAGGTGATGCTGAGGAAATGTCGTGCTATGCCGA